AACACTCCTAAAATATAGATGAAATCAACTAAATACTCTTTGAATGTCTTCTTATCCCATATAATCGAATTCTATCACTGACAAAATTGACATAGTAATGATTTTAAGCACACTTCAGTCGCTTATTTTGTGCTGCTTGATTCAAGAACTTTGTAGAAACACACAGGAGGATCGTAATATGCACATGTTTGTTAACTATATCGGTTATAGTGAAACACAACAGAAAGATTTTTACCCTTCGACAAGACAACAAAGTGAACATGGATATGAAGTTGATCAAACATTGGTATTTCAACACCGCTGACTTCAGTATGAGAAGACAGAGACTGCAGTAAATAATTTAAGACTTCCAGTGACCATCTTTTTAAAAAGGCATAAGCACAAGGCTGAAGACCAACTGGCTGCGTTTCCAATGTAGAACTTTGGACAAAAATTGCAGCAATTCAAACTACAATACTTCAAGAAGTACATAAAAAGGTAAGTAGAAAAAGAAATGCAAAGAAACTACAACAAAAGGGAAATGTTCAAGAGAAAGAATACTAAAATGGCAAATAATGAGAATTGAAAACATCTACGAGATCACTAAGAGTGAATGCACCTTGTGCCGATGAGAACTATTTTGAATCATCTCACTATTAATCTTCAGCTATTGATTTTTACGGTCTCGATGACCTCAGCTAAGCAGTATACACCTCCCTAAGAAAGTAAAACCAAACAGTAAAAGACTTCATGCATCATCTATGCGAGACTTTCTTCTGACATTTAATCCAAGGCATCCTAACCATCCTAATCGATGTAGCTTCACAACCTAAGTGACTGACTTGTTCTCTCGTTACCTTACACACTCTACGCCTATCCTCCGTATTACTCTCCACCATATTATACCTCCACTTAACACGGGATACATCTATGGTCAGAGATAGCTAACCTCTTCAAGTCTTACACTTTCGACAGTTATGTATCAGTCACAAAATACAGGACCAGCTACATACACGTCCTCTGATTGATAATCAGATATCACGTCTATGCCAAAGATCAAGTTGGTTAGCAAGTACCAAGGGAGTCTTTCTTAACGGGGCTGATATGTCGTCAGTAATGATTTCCTTAGAGCTGATGTAACCTCGCAAGTAAATGAAGGCGTCAACACATTCAACTACTTCGCTATCTATCTTTAAATTGGAGAGTCTCATGCACATGGTCCGGGGTTCGATCCTCAGCCGACGCACTCCTTTACCTCGCTAAGCCAGAAATAATGCTGGTGAAGAGGAAAGGTTGGGCATGAGGCTAGCAACCCCATCCGATGACATCATCTGACATTTAATGACAAGGATAAATTGCGCGCCAAACATATCAAGACTTCTCCAAAATCGATGAGACTACTAATAATAATAATAATTTTACCAAGCCTATATCTATTCTATATGGACTCAAAATAATCCAACAATTAATTCCCACAAATTCAAACATTAATTTTGTAAAGGTCTAGGGTGAAGTACAGGCAAGGATATGTAAACCAATATGTAGGAACAATAGGAAAATATTTTAATAGGTTCCTTATGGATATGTATTCATCAAAATAAAATTTCAACTAATTTTACAATTACTCTTTTTCCGTTACCTGCATATTTAACGTTTTGACATTTCTATATCTCCTTTCCAATTAATGACTATTGTTTCTCTTATTTTTGGTTGATGCTTATTTTTAATGCTTCTCTTTGCTATTTGTGTAGTGATATGTTGTTTTATGACTGTGATTTTGTTTGTGTGGAATCAAGGTTATGCCTTAGAGTGACAACTTAACATTGGATTGTCTATCAGAAACATGTCTTGTCCACTATTGATTCTTGAAGACGAAGTTTTGATCTCACTTTGCTGGAAATATTCTTATTGATTTTCAGGTAATTATAAATAATGTTTGGTCAGTTAATTTTGTTATGCAGTGCATATTTTATACCAGAGAAACTGTTAGAATGTCTACGATCTCTTTCTCACGTTAGGTGGTATAATAAGGTAAGTAATGTTGACGTTAGGCGTAGAGTGTTGGGAAGAGGGAAAATCAATCGAAGAGGCTATAAAGTTACATAGATTGAGATGGCTAGGTCACGTGCTGCGCATGCCTAACCATCGCCTCCCCCACCCTGACGGGCATTACTAGCTGATATAGGTGCAGGTTGGAAAAGAGTAAGCGGTGGCCAAACAAAAACATGGCATCAATCCATGAAATCCCTGACAGTTAAACTGAGTCAGGTAGGGAGATGCAGACTTCCGGGTTGGGCGCCCTCGGGACTCTAAGAATCAATGGCTGGAGACAATAGGTGACATGGCTCAAAATCGTTGTCAATGGCTTACGCAGATGTATTCAGTCTCTGTAATCTTTCATATTCCTTTCTACCATTACTCATTCTGTTTCACTCCTATACTTGTCAAAACTCTATTGATTCTCTTCACTCATCTTCTTGTCTACGTTTGTGTGCTCTTTGGAACGTGGCAACTCGAACTGCTGCACTTCGGTGCCAAGTTCTATGTTGAATCCAGCCATAGCTACCAAACGGTATTGTTGAAGTGGTTTTGTATACTTAGAGGAAGTTGTTGAATACTAACACAAATTCTATCAAGCTACAACGTGCTTCAATCTTCTTAGAATGTAAGTTTGGACGGTGAGTAGCCCGTGAAAATCTGATAAACTATATAAGAAGGCATCGATCGCTTTTCTGATTTCAAACCAGAGTACATTGATATAAGGAGAGAATTAGACTGGTGAGATAGAATACATTCCTCGATATTATATATCTTAATTTCCTTAGGTTCCTAGTAGAACATAGGACGAGTCAGCACCACATCTCGATCTCATCTGATTCTCCACTGTTTCTTTTAGCTGGCTCCACGACTATCCACAATCATTTATCTCTTACTCATACGATCCCCTCTATGCCACCTTCAGACCTACAGGCAACTCGTCGTTTCCCATTCAGGTTCCACTCGAGCGATGTATAAATACTAATCATTATTCATATTTGTTGAGCAATAGGTTCTTGACTGGCTCGTTACCAGAGTTTCTTGCAGCCAATTTTTTCCTGACCATCTGATATTTAGTATGGAGCTAGCGAGAACAGCAGCTGATAAAAGTTTGTAGAAACCTGCTGGAAATAGTCTTCATGACGTGGGCGCCAAGTTTCTGACCCATGTGGAAGAACTAATTTAACATTGGTGTTAAAAATTAGAATTCACTTCTATATGCTGTGAAGTGCAAAAGATTTCTAAACCGACTTCAGAGTGGCTAAGTTCTGCCTTGTCTTTCCGGTGTATTCTGACTTTTACATCCTCATCCATTCCGCGTGTAGTTGATTAATTTATTCAATACAGTGATACAACAATAATAACGAGATGAGGTTTTGATTGAGCTTGATTTATCCTGCATAATGAATGCTTTATATTACGAAAATACAAAGTTGTTGCCTTGTAATCTTGTATTCCTTTTTTCACGAGATTTCTTTATCCACTTACTATGTGATATTTTTTGGGTGAAAAGTAGTTGTAAATTAAAAAGTTATTCTTTTTGTCTTTCCTATAAGCCTTGAGAATTTTGCCTGACATTTATTTGAATTATAAATAATTAGAAGCACTTTTCGTGGAATATTTCCAACGAATGTAATAGCTATTTACTACTACTATGTAACTACTCATATCAATCAATCAGTAGTATATGACGCTGTAAATTTATACTTGATTTCTTGATTACCAATTATGATACCAAGTAGATCACATACTATGATCTGAATAGTTTCCATTTCTAAAGAAAACTACAGTGAAATTTCACATTGAACTGTGCGCATTGTAATTTGTGAATTTGATTCAAATGGAATAACTAGTTTCTTCGATATCTGTGTAAAAAGTATGCGAAATAACATTGTAAATCAGTAAGGAATTGACATCCAGTGGTGGTGTTTATTTTTCAATGGTTGATACACAAGTTGAGTGTAGGTTTGAGGCGGTGTAGTGGAGACGGTTGTGTGAGGAATTGGAGCCTACGGGCAATCGTGAATACTAGAGTAGAGACCAGGATGAAATGCTACGGACACCACCTTATGTTCCACTCGTGACCCGAAGGAATAATAACAATAATAAATATTTTTAAAAAAAAACACCACCCCTTGTTATATAACAGAATTTATTGATTAAATAATAGTAATCTTTATTGTTCGTTGATATGAAAAGAAAGAAGAATGAATGAATGAAAGATTTAAGATAACAACACACGGGTGAACAACACTCACAACAGAAACTGAAACAATAACCAACCAAGATAGCAGCATCAGCAGCAGTAGCAACAACAACAACGGGACATATTTCTTTTTAAAATAAAACTTAAAAGAATACCGACAAGAAGGCGAAAACAAATTTGAGTGTATGAAAACTACTAGAAAGTGCCAATACTCACATAAGCACGCATACATACACACACACACACGAAATAAAGCAAGACTAGGGAACAAACCAACAAATGAAAAAGCAGTTGATGCGTATTCATACCTTTTCACTTTATTGATTGTTTTTTTCTCAATCAAGTATGCAACACAAAAGAAGATAACACAGAGAAAGAAAGAAGATAGTTGATAAAACAAATGAATATCACCTATAAAGGATTTCATAAACATATATATATATATATAGTATGTGGTTATTAATTTATTTGCACCGGCAGACCAATATATGTGTATATATAAGTATATAAGTAGTAAAAAAATATAGAAAAGCAATGAACCATTGGAATAAATATGCACAATAAGCAACTCTATAAACGCAAAAGGAGAAAGCAAACATAACAGGGGAAGATATACAAAAATAAAAGTTAGACATTGGTATTATTATTATTATTATTATCATTTGACAGATCAGTTAGTGTAGGTAAATATCAAGATATATGCACCGTAGACACATACGCACAAATGTATGACTAGTACAACAACAACTACTACTACTACTGCTACTAATGCTACCTATTACACAGTCTGATTTATATGATCACCTCGATTGACGGATAATTCACAGATTTTGTTAGGTGAAACATTTACAACAGGTAGATTTGTTCTTCTCGTTGTATTGTTATTCTCATTGGTATCATTTTTATTGATTGGTGTAAACTTTTCAGTAGTATTAGCATAAATTCGATCCCAACCGAATGGATGACGAGAACAACAAAAAGCATAACAATTCCATAAGTAACCCTATATATTATATATCATAAAGGGAAACAAGAAAAAACAACAACAGAAATATTGTTTATTATTATTATCATCATCTTTTAATCAAATATCAATAGTCTTAGGGATGAATACTAGAAACGATTTCAAAGTTAGTCAAACAAATGACAACTATGCAGAATAGTGCGGCAGTTTAATTTGCCACACTCCATGTGTTACCACATAAATTATTATTATTATTGTTCACTTGAATTCCGAGTGGAATATAGCGCTTCAAAAGCATATATCCACTCTGTGGTCCTATTAAGCTGGCCTCACGATTACCCATAGTCCCTAATCTCCTCCATGACACACTCTCTCAACAAGCCCAACTTATCAATTCCTGTTCGGACCTGCATTGCGCGAGATGTCATTCAACAGTCTCCTCAGCATGAGTCTCATCCATCATCTTATACTTTCTTCCGAATACTTGTTGAGCAATAGGTTCAGCATTGATTTTTTCCCCAGAAATTCTTGTTTCCACTTCTTTCTGACTGGCCATCTGATCTTCAGTAGGCAGCCAGCGAAGGCAGCTGTTGATAAAAGTCTACAGTCTGTTTAAAATGCTTCTTTTTTCACGACAAGTGAGACAAGTTTTTCACCCATATAGAAACACTAACTGACTTAAAATTGGTGTAAAAACTGAATTCGTGCATAAGATTTCCAAACCGATTTCAGAATGATGAAGATATTCTTTACGCTTCTGTGGCAGTTTGGTTTTGAAATCCTCATCCATGTTGTCTCCTATAGTTGAAAGGATACTTTGTGAATATGTGAGAGAAGTTATCTCTTTCAAAAATTCTACCGCTGGTAGTGATATCAGAGAAAGATAGAGAAAAATTAAAATTCACAGGAACAAGAATAAACGTAAATGTACAGATGAAAGTCTAAGTACGTGGAAAACCATAAGGATTTAATCGATTTGAGAGTTCATAAACAATGGATGCATATTTGTCATTCAGAAGCACTTGAAGTCATATCGCCATCGGTTCCTAACAATTCGAGGATCCCGAGACGTAGGTCACGCACACCAATAATAGTCAGTAATTACATGGAATGATGCCAGGCGTTCACTCAACCATCCATCCATAATGCTTTTTCAATCTAATTTTATTTTATGCTAGTTAACATTACTCGGAAAGGAAGGCGAGGGTTTGGCATGCATCACAAGTGAGTTGGAATTTTTCTTCCCATCACGTGGTGTGTTCAAATGATGATATAGTACTCAATGGTGAAAGTACTCAATTCAAAGTGTGTACAATTGAGTCACTTTCTTCTCAATTATCAACTTGTAAAGTTGAGCCATATATATGGCAGAAAATCATTTGACTATTTGTAGTATCATGAATGGTTATGCTTTATAGGCCCGATTCATAGCAAAGCCAATGAATATATACATATGCGCACAGTTGCTGACGAACTCATAGATGGAGATGGACAAACGAGCTAATAGCTTTATGGTACAAATTTGTATACCAGTATACAACTTAAAACAAAAGTGATGGAATCAAGTTTTTACACCTTCTGTAGTACAATATTTAGTGACTAAGAGAATTAGGCACCAAAAAGATAATTATAATGAAAATACCCATCATTGAAAAGTTTATCTTGCGCAGAATAACATAATAAATATTGTATATTGCTAAGTGAGAAAGTAAACTCAATAGTTCAAATACTCCAATTCTAAATAACAGATTATTGTTACGAAGTCTCTTTGTTTCATCTGCCGAATGAGTAAACTCAACTAGCCGGGACAGATATCTTTCAAATACCAGGCTATAAGCCATATAATTATTGCGTGTAAGTGTTGATAATACTTACTACCCAGTTTCCAAGACTGAAGTAAGTGAGTGGATGGGGTATTCAAACACTGAAGCTACTGACTAAAAGTCAAGTGGATTAAATTCACAACTTGTAAATCTTACACAGTTCGAAATGAAATTTCACCATAGTTCTCCCTTAAAAATCGAAAACATTCAGATAACAATTTGTCATCTGCCTAATACCATAAATGCCAATCAAGTAAGCAAGCATAGACACATGATGACACATACTACTAATTGAATGGTATAAGTAGTTAGATACAGCTCAAACTAAGCAGTGTAGTGATTGCTAACCAGATTTAAGTGACCTAATCACCGCACTCTTCAAGGGTTGAGCTCACTCATGTCAATCAATCAGCAGTACATGACAACACGCATTTATGCTTGCTTTCTTGATTGCCAGTTATGCTATAAAGTAGTTCACATATTGTATATCTGAATAATTTCGGTTACCAAAAAAAACTGTAGTGATCTGATGCTCACTAGCAACTGGCTCTATTCAGGCAGTAACCTGGGATTCTAGTGGAAGGCCGTGACCAGTAGGATACAGCGGGTCGGGTATGAGGACAAATAGTCGCCGCCAATGACATTGGCTAGTGGTCGCGCTATGTCGTGAACTGGCAGAAGGCGGAATTCACGGGCCATTGGATCGAATCCCAGTAGCTTAATAGTCTACGAGCTCGCCTTGTAACTAGAAGGTCCTGGGTTTGAACCCAGGTGGCGCGTGTGTACTACTAAAGAGTCCCAAAACTAGGACGAAACATCTATCCAGTACTCCCTGCAGGTTTTCCAATTGTTCTCTAACTGATGTCAGCTCATGATGAAATCCTCCAACCAATCCAACAAAATCCCTACAAAACCAATACTTGAAAATTTAACTTTCTCGAACTGTACAAATGGCAGATTGCTAATTTGACTTAACATATTATCAGTTTGCTCAGGTAACTAACTAGCCAGAAGTCGAGTAGTTTGAACTAACTTGGATTACTGAAATGAGTCAAACCGGGTACACTGCTGATGAACTCGACCCCAAACGAGCGGAACGAACGGCAATCCAGTGTTTAAATTACTTCACTTTGGCTAGCAAGAACTACTGACTGTAGAAGTGGGCATTTAACTACTTGTGTCAATTAATCAGTAGTATATAGCATAATGAAAGTTAAGTAATAAAGTGCATTAGTTATATCTTGATTAAAGTGGAAATTAATAACTACCACTTATAATAGTATTATTAATAATAATAACAATAGTAATCTTAAAACTATAATGGGCCAATTATAACTGAAACATAGAATGCATAATTAAGTATATATGACTGGAGGGCAATAAAAAGAACTATTTGAATTTATTCAAATAAATATGTTACATGCTGTAGTAATAATTATACTAACCTCCAATTAAAAACTAATCTAACAATAACCTAAATAACAATGTACAAAAACTATGTAACGAATCCCAGTTTATTTCGTTGGTGTTTTATCGACTACTTACAAATTGGATAATCAAAGTGATTGATTTTTGAGTAACTTCGATTTTTTAATTGAAGCAATTTCCAATAATACTTTTTTTTCTTCAAATTTTTATTACCACTTATATAGACACACATGTACCATGACTATTCATAATTATTGTTGTTCAACATTTTCTTTCTTCAAAGAAAGTAGAATATGGTAAATTTGCGGTATAACTATTTACTTTGATTTCCCAGATTATATATGTGGTTGACGAGATGCCGACACACTAAGGGTAATTAATCTGTGCATGCAAAGTTTCCACTTTATGGAACTACATTTTATTCATTATTGTTTTATTCCATTACATTCCCGGTGGAAAATACGGCTTCAAGCTAGAACTTTGAAGTTTCGGTAGCAGTGGTGTTTATTTTTACGGGATAGAGTTGCTAGCCTCAGGCCCAACCTCCTCTCTTTACTAGTTTCATTAGTGTGTCAGCGAAGTAAAGGACTGTGTTGGCCAGGGATCGAACCCTGAATCATGTGAGGCATGGTTGGCGAGCATTCTACCGCTATCCCACCGGCACACGCTTATGTACGCAACTTATAGTTGCATAAAAATATCCCAGTAACGATTTAGTCATATGTATATGAGTTTATGCATACTACTTCTGTTAGTGAATATTTCAAAGATTTCAGGGTTTTCGCTGATTGTTCAACACACAAATTACAATTCTTTCACTAACTAATTACTCTCCATTTGTATTAGGATAGAAAGATTAAGTTACATAAGCCAGTGAAAATGAAGAATCAGGTATAACTTTCTTCAGCCTATTTATTTGGATACACCGGCGGTGGGGGTGTTACTAACAAGATTTATCAGTAGTATATAGATACAGACTGATAGGAAGTGATCAAAATTGAAATCAACATTTTAAGTCAATAGATGTAGAGGGAGAAGCGTTTACTCCTTAAATTTGGATCTACTTTACGTTGTGGACGTGATTAGAATTCATGGGTCATTGAGTCAGGTACCAATAGCTGAATTATCCCCGCAAGCTCGCCTTATAACCAGGTCCTGGGTTCAAACCTCGGTGGGTGCGTACTGATGAAGAGTCCCAAACTAGGATGAGACAGCTGTCCAGTACTTCCTACTGGTTTTCAATGGTTCGCTAACTGATATTAATCCATGGTCAAAACTGAAAAAACAAATCAAATCATTACAAATAAACTCCGGAAATGATCTCATTGGACAACTTTTCGTCTCATCATCTAACATCGGACCAGTCACCAACCAACCAGAACAGTTTTTTGTCTACTGACCCAGCCAACTTTCAATGTGATTGAAAATGTGTAAATATGATGTGTTTTCCCCCAATAAAAAAGTCCTTTACCAATTTTCTTATCTTTTGCCGTTACACAGGTATTCATCGTAGACTAATTCATATAATACACTAAAAGATAACACCTTCTTCCTTTTACTCCAGTTATGTTTCTAGTGGGGCGCATAGGACTTCAAGTTTCAGTAGCAGTAATATTACTTTTACGAGGTAGGGTTGCTAACCTCACACACCCCCAACTTCCCACTAAACTGGGCTTACCACTGACCGGCAAAGCGCGAAGTTTAGGGAGTAGTACTCAACCATGAATCGAACCCAAACCACTTGGGGCGTGGTTGGCGAGTATTCTAACATATTGAAAGACCCATTGACGTACATACAATGTCACTGTATAAATTTAATCAAAAACACAAGCAATTTAAAGCACCCGCAAAAAACATTACACTATTTAAAAACAATATATAACTATTTGAGGAGGAGGAGAAGGGAGTAATAGGACTAACAGTTAAGCGTCTAAATAGAATGTACACTCAAAAGGAACTTCCGATAGTAGAAGAAACAAAGAAGTTGAAGCATAACAATCAATGGGTTTGACTCTAAGTCATATCTAATAACATTACTGAGTAAAAATGAGTTGCATAGTTTCTCAAATGTCACCATGGGAGTTATGTTGCCACTAAACGAAGTGAAACCAAAACTAACTAATATCCTTTACTTCACACTCCCGTGTCATGATGAATTCATATCTTCACTTTTTTTCAAACAATCCCTAATACTAACCAACAATGAACAAAATGGAAGATGCTGGAATGACATTGATACATTATTGATATGTTACTCAATAACCACGTTCGTGTCGATGCAATGTGAGGGTTTGATGAAACTGCCTAGCTGTGTAAACTTTGGCAGGTGCAGGGGGGTTCAGGTCTGTGAATTCCCAACTATCTAAATTTTCAACATCTACCAACAACTAGGAAAGACAGAAACTGGTTTCAAACCTGGATGCAGACGTAACGACTAGGTATTCAAATTCATTTATACAGAGATTTACTCATTAGTGCCTGACATCAGTCATATTTCCTGACGTGAAAGTAGATCAATACGATTTCAGGCAGTATCATATTTCACTGGAATGGGTGTCTGAGAAAACACAGAAAGCACAATTGTCAAACATTTATGATCACACTAAAGCATGCTTTAGTTACTCAGTCAGTTGCTTCGAACAACAGATGTTCGCCAAAAATCTTCATTCTTCCCACTTTTATTCAAATATTTAATAGACATTACCACACCTGCAATCATAAGGATTAACCTCACGGTTTACTTAGAGTACGCAGACAAATCAAGTTCATAGGACTGCCACTACACCTCTCAAATGTAAACAACTATTTCAGAAATGGTCTGTATAGTAACACTATAAGCTCTAGAAGTTTTCACTATACCATACACAATCAAAAATGTTTATAATAAAAATGTACATGTGACTAACTTAATGCTCTTCCTCTTTTCCTATTTCATAACAAATTTCCACCCAAAAGTAATGTTACGGTACGTATAACAATGATTCAGAGCGTCTGTGCTTCGATCATTGAGTACTGGCTAACCACATGAGAGGTTAGGATTCGATTCCCACCCGGCGCATCCCCAAACCTTACCAAGCCGTTAGTAAACATGGAAGAGAGGGAAGGTTGTATATGAGGCTAGTAACCTCACACTGTAAAAAAAACAACGTCGCTGCTGAAGCTCCACAGCTTAAAGCCATATTTCCCACTCGGAACCCAAAGGGACTAAATAGTAGTAATAATAATAACTGCTCCATAGACAGTATGAATAAATACTGATCTGAAGTGATTTTTTTCTAAATTCCTTGCATTCCGAGTAGAAGATAGAGTTTCAAGCTCCTGAAGTTTCAGTGACAGTTGTGTTGTTTTCCAACTGAGACAGGATTGCTAACCTCATGCTCAACCTTCCCTCTTTCCTGGACTTACTATCGACTAGTAAACTAGGTGAGGTTTCAGATTGCGGTGGCTTGGAAGAGAACTTTGACCTTTCGAGTGGCTGGCAAGCGTTCTATCATTAACCTATCGTTGTAAATACTTATCATATAAAACATTTTATTCATAACAAATTTAAAAAAATAAAAAATTGATATCTACGGGAAGAGAACATTAATTATAAATCAGAAAAAGTACAATACTACTTTTAAACTTAAATTTCACCTGATTAAATGGATTTTCATCAGATTTTAAACTTTGTAAATATGTGATCCGATCGTGTGCTACTGTCTCCCAGGTAGTTTTGTTAACCAAAGCCAAATACAGATGAAATCCAAGTATTAAAGTTACAGGTATTCCACATATTGTTAGTATAATTATAAAAAAGTAGTATAGACAATTACTACGAAACCAATCACTCCAATCAGTTGTTTGAATTAATGAACACCTGAAATAAATAAGTAAATAAATAAATATTCTTTTCAGTATAAAATTAGGCAATATATAATTTTACAGCATTAATTGAAATCTTACATTCACCAAAAAAAAAAGAAGGAAGATTAGTTCATTATTAAACATACTATAGGTTATCCAATCTGTTGTTATCACCATATAACATTAGAGATTATCAAAAATAAAAATGCGTTAGAATTTATATGTATTCAGTTGATTATGTTAACTAACTGACTATTATTCCATCTTATACTTTGTACCGCAATACAGTTTCTCATATAATTTTCATTTACCTTTACTGGCGGCTATTTGTATTCTAATATTGATTGGATTATAACTGTAGAGTCTGAAGCTGAAGAAGTTAATGAAAACAATTGTTCGCTAAGAAAATTTTGCTTGTCTTGATAAAACACACTGTTTTAAAACAGATATAAGAAAGACTTTATTTAATAAAGGAGTAGTATAGACCAGAATGAATAGCGTTCAACTAAACTATAATTCTTAATGTCACTGTATTGTAATTAAAACACCAACTCAGTGCATTATGAGCACCAAGAGATGTGCCACACAAAAACTCATAGTTTGTTAAAAGGCTAGCATACTGTCTGGACGCTTAGACCGAAGAAGGTGGTTGCCTTCAGGGGCCACCGCCTCCCCCCCTCCTCGAGGCGCTGACTTGAAGACTGTGGAGAAGTTTCAGGAGCTTCTTTCCCATGGCTTCCAGTGATCAAAACAGATTCTTTTAGATTCTGGAGGCTATGTACAGCATAGATTTGGAATTAGGGTTTTCCAGCTCCCCTAAATAGGTTTGCATATCCACCAGACGTTTATCTTTGCCCTTTTACTTTTGCGAGGAACAGTTACGCCACGTGAAGGCAGTGAATAAGATTTACCTCACAGAGGTTATCAACGCGTGATTATATATAATATGGTAAACTTATTTATTATGATACTATGGCTTAAAATAAGTGAGTTGATGAACACTATACCATCGGTGTGTGTAATTTTTGGAAAATCTCAAGTGTATACCTATTTATGTTCTATAGTATGGTATGTAAGGGTTAGTTTTGTTTTTACGAGTTGATCACGGATTGATATCAGTTAGAGAACCATTGAAAAACCATCAGGGAGTATTGGACAGCTGTTTCATCCTCTACCAACTCGTGATTTAGCACGACCCCAACCAATTTCGTCGGTGGGAATTGGTAGAAGTTAAAATTCATTGGCCATCGAATCAGGTCCCAGTGGCTGAATGGTATACGAGCTTGCCTTGTAACCGGAAGGCTCTGGGTTCGAATCCACCTGTGATGAGTGAGTATTGCCAATGATTCCCAAACTAGGATGAAACAGCTGTCCATTCCTATCTGATGGGTTTCCAATGGTTCTCTAACTGATATCAATCCGTGATCAACTCGTAAAAACAAAACTAACCCTTACAAATCAAACTATAGAAAATTTATCTGATGCTCCCTAGTGACTTGCTACAGGATGGAGTTTCCTGGAGTTCTAGTGAGAAGTCGTGACCAGTGAGGTCCATCCAGATGTCACGTGTGAGGATGGATGTCCCGCCGACGACATTGGATGGGGTCGCGCTATACCTATTTAGTTGGTATTAATGTTCTTCAAGCAAATATTAAATATATACTGTAAAATAAAAATCAATCTACTTGAAAGTCAATCCGTATCCAGTGTGACCTTCTTACACCATCATCTGACAGTCTAGACAAATGTATAGTAACTTTGTCTCATAGCATAACAACGAAATTATAACATTCCTACTTTTGTAGTCAAATAAGGCAGACATTGAATACAAACAACAGAGAAGCACAGATAAAAAATCATAATCAAGAATTAGTTTCATTTTTTGTTGTTAAATGAATGAATAGAAGTATTCAGCTTCTGTTAACATTTCAGCTCCTACTACAGACACTTCAACAATGTCTGAGGAATAGCATCAATTTTATGTAATGGATGGTGACCAGCAGTGTAATCCAGGAAACATGTTTCAGCCCGTTCAGGACTCGTCATCAGAATGTACCTGCAATCCATCGTAAGTGATAATGTTCTCACTGACACTGGAACCCAGCACGCATAGTTTTAAACCCCAAAGCAGTATCGATTAGACCGCTTGGATCACGAGAACCACTTCTTGTGCGACGGATAACAGTGATGAGTCCCAATTAGGACGAAATGGGCATCCAGTGTTCCACTGCTAGTCACCGCCCCCCCCCCACCAAATAACATTTTGTTTTAACTCTAAAACAGAACAACATGAACGTATATATCGCTGAGTAATAATAATAATAATAATAGATATCTATCTAACTTACCAAGAAAAATATATACTCCACCAAATTGTAATAGTTTGACAGAAGAGAAATACAACAAATGCTGAATGATTCCTTTCTCCGATACAATTACCAACCCATGGACAATGATGGTCAAATTTCAGGACACAACGATTACAATCAGGACAATGGCGACAACGTAGAGGTTGCTATACAACATTTTTTTTTATTGATATCAAAATGAAAATCAAATTAAAAGGAGAGCATAATAAAGACAGGAAGGGGAGAAAAACTGATTAGAGAACAAGACTAAATAAAGCCAGCTCGATAAAAATTGGAAAGTTGATAATGGGTACAGTAAATTTTTTAAAACAGATTAGATATGATTTAAACGAAAGAGGAGAAGAAGGCGAATCACGATTGGTTAGCTCAAAATCACATGAGACTGGTGTCTAAATTTTATATCTTAATGATAAAAATGGCAGCAGACTCCTTTCATTTCTCATATACACAAATGTAAATGCTTGTAACAAAAAGAAGAACAAGTATGAAATATACGTTGAATTTTTCAACAACAACAAAAAAATCCAATTTCCACCATATATAACAGTTAGGATATTTGCAAGTAAAGTATGTAGCGTATTTGCTGATGTTAATCTATTGAGATTCCCATTACTATTGGAGATGTTCACTTCAGCCACAAAACTAATTTAGATTTACTAGTAATTTGTAAATATCATTCTCTCATAGATTAAGTTTTAACTTTGCGCCTTTTTCATTTGCTTGCACAACAACTATTTTTTGTTACTTTGAAAATAACATCTACAGTTTGGTTTGTAAGGGTTAGTTTTGTTTTTACGAGTTTAACCCCAGTGGGTGCCGATGATTCCCAAACTAGGATGAAACAGCTGTCCAGTACACCCTGATGGGTTTTCAATGGTTCTCTAACTGATATCAATCCGTGATCAACTCGTAAATACTAACATCTTCACTTACACCTTTAATATGCCAGTTTATTACATCTGCCCCAAAGACATCTGAATTGAATGTTAACAACTGTATTATGAGTATTTATTAAAACTAGCTGTCTTTATTTTTGGTGTTTCTTGGGTGCGGTGCAAACAGTCAAGATTCATATTCAATGATGTCATTCACTACAGCGTGGTCGATAATACATCGAAGTAGGCAGCAATGAGTACTAGGTTCAAATCTTACTGCGAACACCATCTCACACTGAGGAACTGATGAAACACGCTTTCTCGATCCCAGTACTAGCCACCACAAAATAAATAGCTTCTAGTTAGTATGGAAGAATCTGTTCAAGGAACCTGTATGCCAAAATGAGGCTGATTAATTCATGAATGTAAGAATAGAATTTCGGCACTGTGGTAGAATAATAACAATTCCATATTACAGAAGTTTATTTGATATAACACTGGAAGAGTGATAAGGGTATTATTAACTGGATGAAGTTTCAAGCACAATTTACTGCTCATAATCATATCAATGCATATTCGCACGTCTTCATAATTTGCTATATATATATTATTATATATATATATATATATATATTTCTTTCCCCCTTGTTGTTTATTCAGATTTTCCATACATCCGGCATAGCCCTTGAATCATTTTCATAGTACAGGTTTGTGTGGGTCGGATGAACAAAGATTCAATGACTAATCTCCCCCTCTACATAAATATAATACTTTTCATTACTTTCAGCCTATTCTATTCTACAAGTGAATGTAATACAATGGCCAAGACTATTTTTTTCTAGATTATTTAACTTAGTAAGATCAAACATTATGCGTCTAGCTAAATTTCTATTTTCTGATAATTCTGATAACCGAATTGACTCTGATCAAATAGTTTGATCTGTGTAATTAACTTCACAGTCATTACATAATATTTCCCGACCGAATGCTGCTACCTTGACGTGGTGGTCGGGCTTGAACACCACAAGCTATACTGGCTGGAACTTATGTTCCTGCAGGTTCTACCATGCAAGAAAGGTTGTTTGGATAGCGGTTAGACAAAAAGCAGCTACCCAATCCAATGCCATGACTTCAAATAAATCACAAAATATCATGCCGGATCGGTCGGGGCCCGGATTAACAACGACCACGCTTTCTGCTGCTGTGTCACAGGGCAGAAGTGATAAATACGCTACTGAGACACACCAAATGAAAAACAACAAACAAAAACAGGCCGTGTGTGACCGGCCTCAAGCAGTTGTCCCCTGGGCTCTGCGGTCACGCAACCAACTTCCACAGTGTGGGCAGCCGGGAAGTAACAATCGCCCTCACAATCCGAAGTGCACAAGAAACCTCTCTAATCCTCACTCACCTTTGTCTTCATCTTCATCTCTATTATCTTGCCTTCCCTCTACTAATGCAACTCCTCTACTTAATGGCTCTTCACTTCATCTTCACTCTGTGTGCACTGAAAACGACGGGAGCCAAAAAACCACCATCGATAGCCTCCTAAAGCCACGTCACCAATTTCATATAGGGACATTTAATGTTAGGACACTTTGCCAAATAGGACAACAGGCATCACTAGCCAAGACTCTGGCATCCCGAGCCATTGATGTATGTTGTGTTTCAGAAACACGCATACAAGACCCAAGTGTGGTTATTCACCTAACCCCACCTGGCCAACAGGATGAATCTGCAAAATTCACCTTGAGGGTGTCAGGAGATGCCACAGCTAGCTCACGAGGATTAGCTGGTGTTGGGATAGCTCTGAGTACTAGGGCAGAAAAGACATTACTTGACTGGATCCCGGTAGATAGCCGTATGTGTGCTGTCCGTCTGAACGAATCAGTGAAAAGGAGAGAGCAGTGCACTACTCGCCGATGCCTTTTCGTAATCTCCGCCTACGCCCCCACTGACTGCAGTTCGGATGAAACGAAGGATGAGTTCTACCAAAAGCTGTCTAGTTTGCTGCGAAAGGCTAAACGCTCAGATATAGTCGTTTTAGCTGGTGACTTTAATGCTCAAGTAGGGAAATTGTGCCAATCTGAGAAGAATGTCGGTGGCACATACGGAATTCCGTGCCAGCGAACCGACAACGGTGACCGTCTCCTACAGTTCTGTTCAGATAATCATTCGTTTTTTGTAAGCACTAAATTCAAACACAAGGAGAGACACTGTTTAACCTGGCGACCCCCACCATCAAATCAACGCTGGACACAAATAGACCACATAGCAATAAGCTATCGTTGGCGTGGGTCGGTAGGAGATTGTCGCTCCTTCTGGAACACGTGTGTAGATACCGATCACGCACTGGTCCGCGCTCGTGTATGCTTACGACTGAACGGATGTAAGAAACAGCTGGCGATAAACCCATCACGTCCCCAGCTCGATCAGGAAACTAAGTCCCTAATTGAGGAAGAACTAGCTAAACACATATCTGAGTTCGACAGCTGCGCTCACCCTGAAGAAGCCTGGAAGAATATTCAGTCAGCCATAGATACAGCTGTAAAAGCTGTGAATAAGGTAAATCCAAAGGTGAGTAAAAACCATTGGATTTCGACTGCCTCATCCGAACTGATAGATGCTAGAAGACTTATTCCGGCGAGCTCTGAATTCAATGGGGAGCGAAAGCTGCACAAAAGGAAACTTACGAAAAGTCTCCGCAAGGACCGTGAACAGTGGTGGTTGACAAAGGCGAAAGAGATGGAAAAAGCATCGGCGATAGGCAACACTAGGCAACTCTTTAGACTCATCAGGGAAACGGGTGGGAGAAGGCAAATCATAAGTGAGACTATTTGTGAGAAAAATGGCTCCTTAATTAGCTCTCAGGATAGACGCCTCGAACGCTGGAAGGAACACTTTGAGGAACAATTTAACTTGCCTACAGCCACACTGAGCCTCCCCGCCATCCAGCACACACCCGAATGGGATATAGACACTGGCCCGCCGTCTGTAAGTGAGGTCACCAAAGCTATCTGTAATTTGAAACGAGGCAAAGCGGCAGGACCAAACGGAATTATTCCGGAGGTGTTTAAATATGGGGGGTGACATACTAGTATATAGTTTAACTAAGGTACTAGGTAACGTCTGGGAATCAGAGACGGTTCCATCAGACTGGGGTAAGTCACTTATCATACCAGTATTCAAGAAGGGAGATAAGTCCTCATGTGATAATCATAGAGGAATCAGCCTAACGAACATAGTCTCTAAAATCCTAGACTCAGTAATCATGAACAGACTAAGCCGAACTCGGGAGGAACAAACGAGGGAAAATCAAGCAGGCTTTAGGCCAGGTAGAGGGTGCATAGATCATATTTTCACTCTCCGACAGATACCAGAACATAGACACACTTTTAGGCGTCCAACAATTGCCATATTTCTTGACCTGAAGGCGGCCTTCGACTCCGTGGATCGAGAGGTACTATGGCAATGTTTGACTGTGAAGGGAGTGCCAAGAAAGTACATTGCACTAATCAAGGCACTGTAATCAAACTCACGTAGCCGTGTAAGGGCTTACGGGGAATTGTCATCTGAATTGATAACAACCAGTGGTGTCCGTCAAGGATGTCCACTTTCCCCTTTTCTGTTTAACTTCATCATAGATATGCTAATGGAAGTATCCTTAACTGAACTTAACGACTTAGGAATCGACTTGTTACCAGGGAATAGTCTTATAGACTTAGAATACGCAGACGACATAGTCCTGTTAGGGGAGGACGCTGACAAAATGCAGAGTCTTCTGAACACCTTGAGCAGCAATCTTTGTATGTTTGGCATGCGATTCGCTCCTGTCAAATGTAAGATGATGCTACAGGACTGGACTACGTCAACTCCTAGCTTAGTGATAGGGAGTGAAGTGATAGAACATGTTGACCACTTCACCTATTTGGGAAGTTGTATCAGCACCAACGGATTGATTGGTGACGAAATCACAGCACGGATCCAGAAAGCTCGGGCTGCTTTCGCTAACTTACACCGTCTCTGGCGTAGGCGTGTCATCCGGCTATCAACCAAGGGACGTGTGTACTGCTCAGCAGTTCGCTCCGTCCTTCTCTATGGCTCTGAAACATGGCCAATACAAGTTGAAGACATGAAAAGTTTGACTGTTTTTGATCATAGATGTTTACGATCTCTTTCACATAATAATAAGGTAAGTAATGTTGACGTTAGGTGTAGAGTGTTGGGCAAAGAGGGAAAATCAATCGAAGAGGCTATAAAGTTACATACATTGAGATGGCGAGGTCACGTGCTGCGCATGCCTAACCATCGCCTCCCCCACCCCGACGGGCATTACTAGCTGATATAGGTGCAAGTTGGAAAAGAGTAAGCGGTGGCCAAACAAAAACATGGCATCAATCAATGCATGAAGTCCTTGACAGTAAAACTGAGTCAGGTAGGGAGATGCAGACTTCCGGGTTGGGGCCCGCCCTCGGGACTCTAAGAATCAATGGCTGGAGACACTAGGTGGCATGGCTCAAAATCATTATCAGTGGCGCAGATGTATTCAGTCTCTTTAACTTTTCATATTCCTTTCTACCATTACTCATTCTGTTTCACTCTTATACTTATCTAAATTCTATTGATTCTCTTCTCTCATTTTCCTGTCTACCTTTGTGTGCTCTTTGGAACGTGGCAACTCGAACTGCTGCACCTCGGTGCCAAGTTCTATGTTGAATCCAGCAGCAGCAGCATAATATTTAGTAAATTATATTATTTTGTGTTGGGTGCAGACTCAACAGAAATGACTCAATGCAAATACCAGAAATATGGAAGATATTATTACCGCCAGTCAGTCAAATCAGAGGAGGACAATAAATAATCTCAAAATTCTATTTCAATTCAAGCACATCACAACAGTCTAACAAGTTACTCATTTATTTTGACTATAAAAACACTCGTATTATTTCCCATCTGATTGTAATTGATTGATAACACTCATATTATTATTTCTGAATTTACATTATCCTATATTGATTTGCATTTAAATATCTAGTCAATTCTACACATGTATATAAATGAAGCAAGAAAGTTGTGTGAATGAGTGACTTGATATGATTATGAGTAGTAATAATTTGTGCTCGAAAGGTCATCAGTTAATATTACTGGGTAACACTGTATGATTTTATCAAAATAAAATCTTATCCATAATGGAGTTATACTCTACCACAGTGACCAAGTTTTATCCTTATATTATATTATCTTTCTGTATTGGATCTATCGGGTCCTCAAGCCGATAAAATTTGTCAAACGAGGAGTTGGTTGGCTCTATTACGAATCTCATGTAGGGTATCTGATAGTCCTTCTTTATACAGTAATACAGTAATACTACAGAGGCTTTAAATGTATCAATGGAAAATCACAAGAATGAATAAATAATTTCTGTAACATCATTTGATTTTCAGTGATTTATACACTGAGCACATATTGAAACTGATGGCTTTAATTAGTTTACTTTACAAGTTTAACTATATCGGTGAGAAAATCAACTTGAAGGGATTAGAAATTTCTTTTAAAAAAAACAGCAAAATTTCGCAAACATCCGAGATAAAAAAAACAGCACTGAACGAATTATTACGTAACAATTATTCTTGAATGCTTTCACTTCTCTTTTATGCTATGTTTCTCTTTCTCTGTCTAATAATAGATTGTTTTCATTTATCAAATGTTCTGGTTAAAATTGTAGTTAAGTAAACAATTTTTTTAATAAAGGTGAATATTAATGAAGCGAACTCTTACTTTGCTGGATGCTATAACAGGGAAGCTTTCACTTTCATTCTAGATGGCATCAGTAACAATAGCATAACAAATATTAACTTTTTATGCTAACCTTATATGTGATTAGCTATTTTATACAGGCATAATATCATCCCTTATATGCGTATTTTAATTAACCGTTCTGTCATTGTGAACTATAACCAGATTATTTAATACTATTGTTAATTGGTACGTTTTTCTTTAAGATATCAGTAAAGGTGAAGGTGTTGAAGGCAGTGGAGAGAAAGTATATTGTACTCATCAAGGTACTGCAGATTAGGACTCACAGGTGGGTGATGATCAGGAGATGTGTGCTTCATGTGCTTTGATCATAGATGTATGCGTTCGATTTCTCGTGTTAAATGGTATCATATAGTGATATGGTAATATTGAGGTTGTGAGTAGTGTTAGATACAGAGGGTAAGTGAATCGATGAGATGGCTAACACACGTGCCATGTACGCCGAACCACCGCCCTCCTCAATGAAAAATGATAACTGACATAGGATTAGGTTGGTCAAGTTGACTATTGGTTTGAGGCATCCACGTAGTGTGGTATAGACTACATGGTTAGGGACCTCGAAATACTAAAAATCGATGGCTTGAGACAATTGGTGATATGGCTTTAAACTGTCCTCAATGGTCCAGATGCATTCATTCTTTGTGATCTCTCTCATACACTAAATTTTCATTTTCTTCCATGTTACTGTTCTTTCTCCTGTACATTACATTTCTTTTGAATCTATTCTCTCTTTAATTTTATGTGTAACATGGAATGTGATAACTTGGAGTACTACACTTCTGTGCAAAGTTCTATATTGAAACTTAGTCAATCAGTTAGTGATATTATATTCAATAACATAAGAGCCTAACAAATGAACCATCCAGTTCAAAGAGAAGAAAATACAATGAAAAAAAATCCTCAATCATCTAAGTGATAAACTTCCTTTAATGAAGTAGTTAGTTTTTTATCCTCAAGTTTACTGTGATTTCGTCTACAATGTTATACACGACTGCTTAATCTTGTTCTTTTAAAAGAGCTTCAACATGAAAGTACCTTCTTTATACAAAACATAAATGTTTACTTATCCGTGAAGACAAGTTAAAGTAGTAGATATTTTCAAGTGTTGGTTTGTAGGGATTTGATTGGTTACAGGATTTTCATCATGAGCTGACATTAGTTAGAGAACCATTGGAAAACCTGGGAGTACTGGACAGCTGTTTCGTCCTACTGGTCACGACCAGTAGGGTGCAGCAGGTCGGGTGTGAGGACAAATACTCGCCGAAGACATTGGCTAGGGGTCGCGCTATGTCGTGAATTGGCAGAAGTTAGAATTCATGGGCCATTGGATCGGGTCCCAGTGGCTTAATGGTATACGAGCTCGCCTTGTAACCAGAAGGTCCTGGGTTCGAATCCCGTTGAGTGCGTACTGATTAAGAGTCCCAAACTAGGACGAAACAGCTGTCCAGTACTCCCTACTGGTTTTCCAATGGTTCTCTAACTAATGTCAGCTCATGATGAAAATCTAGTAGATATTTATTCGTTGTGAAATAAACGAAGTATTGGATTTTACTTGTCTACACAATCTGAAATCTGAAAAAACCCTATTCTAACCATTAACTTGGCTTTCTTGTCACCAATAAAGAAGTAATTCATCGGTTAATAACTTCCTCGAGTGGAGATGTAGCGCATTGGCTTAAGCACTTTCCTTTCAGTCAGTGGATCTCAAGTTCGAGTCTTGCCCTGCTTACTTTAACCAAGGCAACTAATTAGTATCATTAGTAGCCATTGGCTATCAATCCAGTATTGGGTAATTGAGATCTAACCTTCTTGAATGTCCATTTCAAAGACCTGGGGGACAAAATTATGCACTTATAGACTAACTGAATTACAACATAGAACTTTGCACAAAAATGAAACACTCCATTTTGAACACAAAAGCAGAGAAAAAATCTCAAAAGAACAATAATGAACAGATATATATGTATATAGCAGAAAGAATAGTAACAAGGGAAAAAATGAGGATTTAAAGGTTCTGGTAGATTACAAAGAGTAAAATGCATTTGCATCACTGAGAACTGTTTAGAGCTTTATCATCAATATTCTCAAGCTAGTGGATCTTAGTACTGCGAAGTCCTCAACCAGATAGTCTACAGATGTCTACGTGACTGGTGCTCAAACCAAAAGTCAAATAATTCATGGATCGATACCATGTCTTGATTTGACCACCCCTCAAACCTTTTCTACCTAGTCCTATGTCAGCTATGTACACTAAGTATATATATATATGCATAAGATGTGTAGGAACTGAGTAAACCTGAACTTATTGAAATGACACGAGGTATGCAAAATAAAGTCCCTAATTGATGGATTGGTGAGTATATGGCATTATGAATATCCCTTAATACTTCAAACCTTATTATTTATCTTTCATGGAAAAGACCCCAATAAGTAAGACAACTTGAAGTGTACTCACTCTACAAAAAATAAAAAAATAATAGTAATAATAATAACAACTTACTTCTAGAAGACAATGTTTACAAAATCTTACAGGGACAGATAAATTAACTAAAACTTCACAATCTGTATTCATTTTAGAACATGAATAGTTTGACCAATCTCGTTTAAAATTCATAGTAAATTTATTTGATAATGTTGCAGTATTTGATTCTACTCCACTACAATGAGCTTCATCAGAATGACATGGTGTATCATTGTGATCCAATGTCAAATTATTCTTAGAGCTTATATCAGAATTAACGGTTGTATATTCACCGGCATAAATAGCACGTTCATCGATAGAATCATTGGTTAGTGAGATATGCCCACGACGATGTCGAAACCATCTGGCCTATTAAAGATAATAATAATAATAATAAAGTGTTGGCAATAAATGAAATGAATTCTTTGAGTAGGCAAAGAGCAGTACATAATGCAGTCAAGATGCCTCCAAAGCCTCAGGATGGTCGGGGGTGGGTGCCTTGCGCTGCGGGTTGGCCACTCCTCCGCACACCTCTTGAAATGCTCCCATATGCCCGGGCGTCTTACATAGCCTCTCCTGAGGAAGTCCTACTCACTGCCTTCACGTGGAGGAGGTGTTTTTCACCAAAGTGAGAGGGCGAAAGCGGATGCCCGGCGCTCTTCAACGGGTTGACTGCCCATTGGATGACAGTCTAGGGGAGATGGCTAAACCCTGATTCCAAACCTCCAACGACTGGCGTATGAAGCTCACTGGAGCTCACCGGAAGACGTATGGACAAAGGGCTTGTTGGATGTCCTGATGTCTGGCCCCATTCAAAAAGGCGTATGAACCGAACTCCGGTCACCGGCTGCCAGTGGATAGTGGACTCCCTACTCCACTCCTACTGCCTTGTAGGTCACACTTGGTTGTGTAAAGGCTAGAGCTGCACTCTCAAACAAAAGGCCGAGTGGTTCTGGGGACATCACTCGTACCAAATTCCCATGAAACTTCATGAACTCTCTTATTCGAGATGTTCATGAAGCCGGCTCATCCTCCCGTAAGAGATAGCCGAAGTAAAGCAAAGCAAGATGACTTCGGTAAAACACATTAACCGATAAAATTATATTATTATTATTTTGATGAGTTGATCACGGATTGATATCAGTTAGAGAACCATTGGAAACCCATCAGGGAGTAATGGACAGCTGTTTCATCCTAGTTTAGGAATCATTGGCAATACTCACCCATCACAGGTGGATTCGAACCCAGAGCCTTCCGGTTACATGGCAAGTGCGTATAGAATTCAACCACTGGGACCTGATTCGATGGCCAATGAATTTTAACTTCTATTATTGACTGAATGGTATACAAGCTTGCCATGTAACCGAAAGGTCCTGAGTTCGAATCCCTGTATGGGTGCGTACTGCCGATGATTCCTAAACTAGGACGAAACAGCTGTCCAGTACTCCTTGATGGGTTTTCAATGGTTCTCTAACTGATATCGATCTGTGATCAACTCGTCAAAACAAATCAAATCCTTAAACACCAACTATGGAAAATTATTATTATTATTAAAACGCAAACTTGGAAAATTATTGGCACCAAGAGATGAGTCACACAAAATCTCACAGTTTGTGAGAAGGCTAGGATACTGCATTGACACCCAGACCAAAGCGGGTGGTTGTTATAAGTAGCTAACCCACCCCTGAACCTTGGACTTGGAGTCTAATCCACAAGACAGTGGAACAACATCAGGAGTTACATTCCGATGGTTTTCAGGTTTATGTCATTCGATCCTTTCAGATTCTGGGGCCCATGTATACCATAGGTTTAGAATTAGGGTTTTGCAGTTCCTCTAGGTAGATTTGCATGTCCACCAGTTTACTTATAAGCGTCAGAAGTCCACGTGAAGGTAGTGAACAGGACTTAAGTGACTTACTGTGAAAATCAAGCTTATTGTGACTTCAGTACATAAAAAAAGTCAAGATTTTTATATTTCACTCATACTGTGAACACAAATAATACCAAGTAAAGAAATCACTTTGAATTAAATTCTTTAAAAAAGCAGCCAAAAACTACCCTTCACAATTTCCCATAGATAATTAACGAATACGCATGATAACAAAGGACACTGAAATCACAAAAGAACTTATACTTATACTACAAACTGTAAACGACTCTTGCTGATTACGATTTCACTATGCACAAATATTGATTTCAGGTGGCCTGCAACTGATGAGCACGTGTGGAATAAAATGATGATATCATTTTATATAGCAAATTTGGTCTCTCTTACTTCATTGGAATTTATCACGGGGATCATGTGTGTATGACATATAAATAGAACTCAAGTCTAAACTATCAATGGGAGTCATACGCCATTCTAAGAATAAACTTATCAAGCTTGAATAGAGAATAAATACTTAATCTCAGATATTGACGATCACAAAAAAAAATACTGTGCAGCGAAAAATAATACTTTTGAACAAAGCAACAACTACAGTTTTAGCAGAATAAAATGGTACCATCTTTTATTTCGTCGCCTTCTCTTCAGCTGCTTACAGCGCAAAACATTATTAAATGTATCTACAAAAGCAATTTAACATACTTGCACAGAGTTCATTTTAAGCAGAAATCAATCGATCAATATACAGATACACTAATAATATATATATATATATATTATATACATATGCAATATTGAACACAATGATAAAGGCTCAGGAGTGGTGCTGATGGACAAAGAGGACTACATCGCAAAGATGAAAGATGTGTTAAATGACCTGTTGAGGTTTAAAGTTGACAATTGCCAAAAAGATAAGACAGATGCTGTCGAAAAACGTATCACAAACGCACTGAGAGATCTTCTAAAGAAGAAATTGATTGACAACAATACGTACAATGATTTGAAACCCCGAGGGTCCCGCTTGCCGCACATGTATGGCCTTCCGAAAATACACAAAGAACAAGTTCCCCTGAGACCTATACTTTCAATGACCAACTCGCCCCAACATAAGGTGGCACGTTGGCTTGCGGAGAAGTTGGAACCTAGGCGTGCACACAATGAAAGACTCATTTCATTTCTCTGAAAGTGTGAACCACATGAACGTTTTAGATAAGTTCATGGTGTCATCTGCTGTAACCTCCTTGTTCACAATGATTCCAATCAACGAAACTATTGAGATCATTTGTCAGCAGTCTGGTCTTCTCCCATTCCCAGAGTCGGAATTCAAACGCCTACTCCTTATGTGTACCATGGATGTGCAATTCCAATTCAACAACCCTCTTCGCCGTCAAATAGATGGTGTAGCTATGGGCAGTCCACTTAGCTCTGTTTTAGCAGATATATTCATGTCCAACTTTGAAAGAACAAAGTTGAAGCATGCAATCGACGAAACAACTTCCTACTGTCGATACGTTGATGACACATTTATAGTGTGCAAAAATGAAAGTCATGCTTCACACTTACTAAGATTATTCAATGATGCACACGCCAATATTGAGTTCACTATGGAACATGAAAGTGACGGGAAGTTCCACTTCCTCGACATCGCCATGGAACGCCTAGAAGACGGTAGTCCTCAAAAGTCAATTTATCGTAAGTCCACATGGAAAGGACAATACTTACATTTTAATAGCTTTTGTCCAAATAGCTATAAACGAGCACTGGTCAAGACTCTGTACTATAGAGCGAGAAGAATATGCTCTACAGAGAAAGTAGAGGAAGAATTTGAGTTTCGTGAAAGGACATTGAAGAGCAATGGGTACCCTCAAAGGTTCATCAACAAGTATGGAAGATCTGAAGTCGCAAATGAAAAACAAATCTCAGTAAGAAAAAAGCCAATCTACTTTGAGCTTGATTATAAAGGCGAAAACATTGCAGCGATGATCAACAGAAGGCTGAGTACATCACTAGCCATAGCCTATCCTGCAGCTAACCTAGTTCCCGTCTTTCGAACAACTTGCTCTCTGGTGCAATCAAAAATCGATAGATATTCTTCTCATGTTAACTCCAACTGTATATACAAATATACATGTATCTGCGGGAGCAGTTACATTGGAAGAACAGAAAGAAGAGCATATCTACGATTTTCTGAACATGTACCAAAAAGCTTACGTCTAAAGGGAACAAATGCTTTAAACAGCGCCATCGCCAGGTATCTTCTTGACACGGGTCATGAGGTGGACGTCGAAAAGTCGTTCAAAATTATCAATAAGCAAAAGAGTTCAATTCTCCTTAAGTTTGCTGAAGCCATTTCTATCAAGCGCCTAAAACCTGATTTTATCAGTCTTTCTTTGCCCTGGTAACTGGATATTTCTCACCCGAATGCGAGATACTGAAAAGTTTTCATTGTGTACGATTATTATTGCTCGGAATTGTGTTCAATATTGCATATATATACATATATATATTATTAGTGTATGTGTATATTGATCGATTGATTTCTGTTCAAAATGAACTCTGTGCAAGTATGTTAAATTGTTTTTGTAGATACATTTAATAATGTTTTGCCCTGTAAGCAGCTGAAGAGAAGGCGACGAAATAAAAGATGGTACCATTTTATTCTGCTAAAACTGTAGTTGTTGCTTTGTTCAAATTCATTAAGGGGAATAAATGTATGAAAAATAATATTAGTAGGTTTATAGTTTTTATCAGCTAATCAGGTGCTGAATAGACAGGCAGATGATAAACATAACAATAAAATATTACACTTTATGTCTTGTTAAATTTAAAGATTAATCTATTCGACATTTTTATGCAACTGATGATGACAAGAAACTGAATGAACAATAAATTCATTTCATTATATGTATTGTTCACATAGAATTGCCTAACTTTAACTAAACAACACAATATTATGATGTAGTAAGTGCTAATTGACGGAGAAATGAAAATCCGAATCGAACTGGGGGACCTCCAAATATTACTTTGATGCTCTATCAATCAAGCTGCGAGATCCGATCACTAGCCAGGATTATTTTCATTTCACTGCAATCACCACGACAGCCAGTGGGACGATAAACGGACAATAATGCATCATTGCTGTGGTCACTGGCAGTGAAACGAAACTCTTGTTAGCAGTTAGATGTCGTATGTCAGCTGATAGACAGCCGCACTAGTAGTCTGAATGCCACAGGTCTGAGGTCTGCAGAGGCCTAGATTTTCATTTTGCCTTTAATCCGTGCCCAATATATCAACAACAGTCTACCAAGACAAAACTATTTCATGCAGCCCCTAGTGACAAAATCTACATTGAAACTGATTGGAAAACTCCCTACAAAATTCCATAATATATCAGTATGAATCTCCAGCTCATTCATGGTTACTGGATGGATGTCCTGAAGCTTTACTAAGAAGTCATGGCCAATGGAATTCACCATGTCAACGTGAAGTGGTTGCTCATAGAAGGCACTGTTTGGTAGTAGCGCTACATCAAAAACTGACAACGATAGATCACCAAATTACGACCCAAGTGACTGAATAGGCAACTAGGTCGACCTCTTAACCTGAAAGTCCTGGGTTTTATCTCTGGTGGGGTCATGGGTGCTCACTGATGAGGCCTGAACTGGGACGAAACAGTTATCCAGTGCTTAGCAGTTTTTAATGACCTCTAACTGATGTTGGTTTGTGACGAAATCTCTACAAAAATTCATGATCTCCTACACCTGTTGTGTGCAAGGGAGCTAGAGTATTTGGCTGTCCAAATTTCGGTAAGTTTAGCGAGGCCCAAACACATAATCCACCGATTAGAACCTGAACCAATGAGCCACAGTTCCACAAATAAAACAATGTTAAGTTCAGTGTGCCAATGAATACTTAATCTGTCATTGGAAGAAAACAAACACCCTGAAAACTTATGACAAAAATACTCACACTTTAATTTCCCAACTAAATTATTCACATCTTTATTTTTATTAAATTTTTTCAAATAAAAGAAGGAAGGAGAAAACAAACTTGATTCATCTTATTGTTTACCTACCTTTTCAGCAGTCAAATAACCCGGATCAATACAACTTGTTAAACCATAAGCGATGAGTGAAATACTAAAGAATGCAAAGAAGCATATGATATGGATAAGATCCACTTGAATAAAAACAATCCGATGTAACTCTGAAACATGATGGTGTTGTTAAGGAAGAAGAGATTTTAAAAAAAAACAGAGAAATAAAGAATGTATTATTAACTTAATCAACTACTTGTGCATAATAAATAATTTTAACAATTGAAAAATTGACTAATACTTATAATAAAGAATGAAATTACAACTTGAACAATTCCATGCAGCTAGCAGTGATAAGCAACACTTATTGTGTGAGGGCTAGTAATATACTACCTAGGCTGAGCAAAACTTCAGTAGATGGAGCAGAGTTCAAAACCATAGCCCACTGGTTACAAGTTGAGTGCCTAGACAAATGAGTCACACACCTCCAAACATAAAAACGATGATGCAATGGTAAAATGCTCACCAGTCAGTCACAAACACGAGAGAACCAGGCAGGCTTTAGACCAGGAAGAGGGAGTATTGATCACATTTTCACCCTTCGACAGATTCTGAAACATAGGCATTCTTACCGGCGTCCAGAAATCGTTATATTTCTTGACCTAAAGGCGGCATTCGATTCTGTCGACCGAGAGGTACTCTGGCGATGCTTGGCTGCAAAGGGAATGCCGAGAAAATACATTGCACTGATCAAGGCAATCTACTCGAACTCATGCAGCCAGGTGAGGACTTACGGCGAGTTTTCATCTGAAGTGGTGACAACTAGTGGTGTCCGTCAGGGACGCCCACTATCCCCATTTCTGTTTAATTTCATCATAAATGTACTAATAGACTTAACCCTAACTGAATTCCGCGACTCAGGAATTGACTTGATACCAGGGAATAATCTCGTTGACTTAGAATATGCAGATGATATATACAGACGCTGACAAAATAGAGCAGAGTCTTCTGAATACCTTGAGCTTCAATCTGCGAATGCTTGGCATGCAATTAGCTCCCGTCAAATGTAAGATGATGCTACAGGAATGGACTACATTGACTCACTCCTAGCTTAAAGATAGGGGGTTGAATTGGTAGAGGGTGTTGACCACTTCACTTATTTGGGGAGTCGCACCAGCCAGCTCCAGCGGGTTGATCGCTGACAAAATCTCAGCACGGATACAGAAGGCTAGTTCCGAATATGCCAGTTTACGCCGTCTCTGGTGTAGACGTGATACCCGACTGTCGACTGAAGGGCGTGTGTACTGCTCAGCAGTCCGCTCCATCCTCTTTAATGGATGTGTGACCTGGTCATTGAAAGTGGAAGGCATGAAAATGCCGACTAGGGGGTCTTTGGTCATAGATGCCTGCGTTCGATTTCCCAGGTGTTAGGTGGTATAATAAGGTGAGCAATATTGAGGTTAGGCGTTGACTGCTAGGTAAGGAGGGGTCATCCACCGACGAGGTTGTGAAGTTACATCGACTGACATGGTTAAGACATGTGTTACGCATGCCTAGGCATCGCCTTCCTCGACAATGGGCAATGTTAGCTGACATAGGGTCAGGTTGGAAAAGAGCCAGTGGTGGTCAAACCAAAACATGGCCTCATCAGTCAATGAAATCCACAACAGTTAGTTTAAGCCACGTAGGAAGGTGTAGACTTCCTGGTTGGGGTCCTCGGTATGGTAAAAACCAGTGGCTGGAGACAATTGGTGATATGGCTTAAAATCGTTCTCAGTGGCGCAGATGCATTCACTCTTTGTGATTTATAATATCCGATAAAATTCTATTGCTCTTCCATATTACTATTCTTTTTGCCTCGCATTTCTGTTTATTATTTCTCTTTGGAATCTCTCCTTATTCTCTTCTCTTACTTTGTATGCTACATGGAGTGTGGCAACTCAAACTGCTACAAATCTGTGCAAAGTTCTATGTTGAAACCACTCAGTCAGTCAACAAAACTAACATTTGTAAAACACACTAAATCGATTTTCAATTGCTTCGTGGTTCATTTGAATTAGACAACAACTGTCAACTGACAGAACTATCGCGTGTTGAATGACTATCCATCATACAATATACGTTCATTCCCATGTGTATGAATTTGCATATGGTTATTAAATAACATACATTTGCATAAATAATATCCCATGGATTTTATCTGTATTGTAAGCGTAGAATTTAGAATACAATTCCAAATAAGATAAGTCTATTTGATAACTAGATGGTATTTCGAGGACAATTTATTGCTCATAATCATATCAATGTATTCACACGACTTTATAACTTGCTTCATATATTTTTATTTCCACCCACCTCCCCTCTATCTCTCTATTTCTAACGCGCCATGGATGTTGCACTGTTCGATTGCACACGTTGGGTGTTGATTCAATGAACAAAGATTCAGTGAATAGCCTATCTTTCCATCGAATCATATACCACTATATTACTATTATTATATTCATATATAATATGAGATTTCATCTTTATTCTCAAAGTGAAGTGTGACTGCTTAACTGTATCACTAAGCGGTAGCAGAGTTTCAGATATAATGAGATTCTCCCCGTGGAGTATTCAACCTGAAACTAAATATTCCTCCAACGCAGAAAATGAATTCATTACCCTGACACAAGTTAACTGTAAATGTCGTTGCATTAATTGATTTTAAAACCAACAGAAAAACGTCATGTGGACATAAAATAACTTTCTTACATTGAGGATTTCATGTTATTTCAATGAGATATTGGGAAAAGTATACGAACAGGTACATTTTCACGTATACTCAAAGAAGAGATTTTGGAATGATCAAGGGAACTGATAGATAAATGACAATGAAGTAGGAAATAAGGTAATATGAGAATAATTTATGTAACATAATGTACTACTGAAGATGGTTGCCGTAAATCATAGCGACTCAAGCGAACGGCCGTCATAATGACCTTGATTAACCAATTATGTGGGTTCATAGTAAGTCCGCGAAAATATGTATGCAGTACAAGCATTACATTATGAGATGTGAATGGATCACGAGAGAGAACGACATAAATTTGTCTAGACGAATTTATGAGTAGAAATTGGTTTGGACTATCACTGAAGATTCGAATAAGGAATTGGGAGATATTCTTGGAACATGCACGAGAATGTTACCCTGTATAACTACTTTTCAACACTAACATAAATTTCCATAAAAAGAAGTCGCTTAAATTACGCGTTTTTACCATGGACCCCTTGATTGACTAATAAAGGCTGATCAAGACCAGTATGATGGTCACTTGATTGGGTCGTTATAGTTTAGAGTAACCCTGAAGGCCACAGCCGGAGGACATTTCTCTAGTATCAATGGTTAAATCTTATCCAATTTACAAAACATATCACCATTGTCAGTGACACATGATGTGATAATATAAAACGTCTAGATACTTGCATATAATTCGATGCATTTACAAGGAATATTTTACTACTATCATCACTATCACCACCAACCAAGAACCCATCGCCCAAAAAATACACCAAAAGAAATGGAGTTGGAGGAGACCCGTGAGTAAGATCATACGCCAGGCCACTGTTCGAGTGGAATTCAAGTGGGAAACGATGAGTTGGGCTTTCGAGGGTGACACGCAGAAAATGTGACAAGGAAATGATATCATTATACTTATTTATTCCTTTACGTTCCCAGTCGAACACAGGGCTTCAATCTAGAAGCTTGAAGTTTCGGCAGCAGTGGTGTTTACTTTTACGGAATGGGGTTACTAGCCTGATACCCAACCTTCCTTCTTTACTAGTCTTATTACTGGCTTAGCGAGGTAAGGGAGTCGTCGGCCGGGAATTGAACCCGTGACCTGACGCGTGGTGAGCAAGCGTCCTAACCGCTGTGCTACCGACGCAATCGGACAATCGTGGAGCCAGCTAAAGTAAAGCCTGAAGAGATCAGTGTGAAATGGAGGTGTGCTGCCGAAACCACATGTTCAAGTCTAAAATTCAACAAGGATAACATATCATAAGAAAAATCACATATACTAGTGTACAATCAACAGTTTTCTTTCTATCCAGTAAGCAAATATTATTATTATTGTTCCCTTGGGTTCCTAGTGGAACATAGGGCTTCAACTGCACGTCTCCACTTGCTTCTGTCTTGTGCTGTACTTTTCAACTGCATCCATGTTAGTCCATACTGTTTCAGTTCCTCTTCACACGATCTCCTCCATGTCACCCTTGGACGTCCCACTCGCCGCTTCCCTTTCGGGTTCCACTCGAGGGCCTGACGCGCAATGTCACCCAACGGCCTCCTCAGCGAGTGTCCAATCCATCTCCATTTATGTCCTGTTTTGTTTGTTCCCATAGCTTCTTGTTTGTGATTCTTTCTGGCCATCTGATCTTCAGTATAGAACGAAGACAGCTGTTGATAAAGGTCTGCAACCTGTTGGAAATGTTCTTTGTGACCCGCCAAGTTTCTGATCCGTAAAGCAAAATTGACTTCACGTTTGTATTGAAAATCCGAATCATTTTGTTGTTGATGCTGAGTGACGAAGATTTCCAGATTGGTTTCAGGTTGATGAATGTGTTTCTTGCCTTCCCGATTCTCGATTTGACATCCTCGTCCGTTCCTCCTGTGGTTGATACAATGCTCCCTACATAAGTGAATGAAGTAACCTCTTTCAAATCCCTCCCGTTGATGGTGATTGGCACTGGATGTTGCTGCTATTGTTGTTGTTGGTTGGTTATTTTCATGACCTCCGTCTTGTCTATGTTCACCTGGAGTCCTGTCTTTGCTGCTTCTTCGACCAGTTTGTCGGCTTTTGCTTGTAAGTCTTCGATTTTGTGTGACATCAAACATAAATCATCCACGCGCGAAATGCAGGTCTTCTAAGTTCTTCGTGTCGGTCCAGGATATCCCTGTCTTCTCGTTTCCCACTGTCTGACGCATAATCCAGTCCACCACAATTAGGAATATCATTGGTGATAATAAGCACCCTTGTCTGACTCCTGTGTTTACTCCAAACGCTTCGCTGAGTTTTCCGTTGTGGATCACTTGACATGTGCCGTTGTCGTACAGTTGTTGAATAAGGTTGATGAATATTTGGGGTACGCCGTAGTACTCGAGTAGTTTCCAAATTACTTCGCGGTCAACGCTGTCGAAGGCCTTCTCAAAGTCTATGAAGTTGAGGTAGAGATTTGATTGCCATTCCATGCTTTGTTCGATGATAATGCGTAGAGTTGCAATTTGGTCAGAACATGATTTGCCTTTCCTGAATCCAGCTTGTTCTGGTTGGAGTTCTGTATCCACCAGTAAGCAAATATCATAACACAAAATTTTCATACTGACAGAAACTTGGTATAATGTCAGTAGACTTTAATCTCTAATTTATTCACACATTATTAACACTTCAATAAATATCCTAGGCAATACACGAGATATACATACACTTTTTGATTACTGCAAGAAAGGATATGCACACAATGTCTCTTTCTGTAAATAAATGCAAAAGTAAAATGGAATAAATAAAACAAAAAGGTGATGAAAAGTAATTATTCTAGATATGAATGCCAATATATAAAAGCTTACTTACCTGATTCACACAATAATAAAGGCAATAGGATACTCAAACAAATTACAACATGAATGAATGGAATAAGATAACGCAGTTGACTTTTCACATATTGATATCGTTGACAGGACATTATCACAACCAAGACATGAAACAATAACAATATTCATAATTATAATAATAACAGTTCATCTTATAACGGTTATGTGAAATGCGCCTAAACAAAAATAACAAATAGAGAATAAACAAACGAAGTAGTAGACTGCGTGTGTGTGTGTAAGTAAAAACTCACGTGGAAGTGGTATGTTTAAAATTTAAAAAAAAACTTTTTTTATGACATCAGTGACATAATAAATTGACATCATTATTTCTTAAATTGTTACTTAAGTAAATGTTGTTGTTTTTTCTTCTTCGATTATCGTACACTGATTGATATACACCTTATGTTTAAGAAAACCTACTGACCACCGAAACACTATCGCTTTGCGCACAGATGTTGGAAGGTGCATTAGCATGTCTAACTAGTTTATTATATCAGAACATTCGTTCATAAATTTATGTATTAGATTTCAAACCATTGGTCGTCAACTATTCCAATTCGTAATCCCATCTACTACAGTTAAGGAAGCTGAGTTACTACTCAATAACTGTTTCAAAGAGTATATTCATCAAATAAGCGTAAACTAGAAACATAATCTGCAGTCTGTAACTAATTCAGAAAGTTTATTTAATCAGAGTACTTCATCAAAATGAAGTAGTTTGAAATATTTATATCTAGGCTACTTAATACTTCAGTATATTCTTAATTGTGGTGGACTGGATTATGCGTCAGACAGTGGGAAACGAGAAGACAGGGATATCCTGGACCGACGTGAAGAACCTAGAAGACCTGGATTTCGCGCGTGGATGATTTATGTTTGATGTCACACAAAATCGAAGACTTACAAGCAAAAGCCGACAAACTGGTCGAAGAAGCAGCAAAGACAGGACTCCAGGTGAACATAGACAAGACGGAGGTTATGAAAATAACCAACCAACAACAACAATAGCAGCAACATCCAGTGCCAATCACCATCAACGGGAGGGATTTGAAAGAGGTTACTTCATTCACTTATGTAGGGAGCATTGTATCAACCACAGGAGGAACGGACGAGGATGTCAAATCGAGAATCGGGAAGGCAAGAAACACATTCATCGATCTGAAACCAATCTGGAAATCTTCGTCACTCAGCATCAACAACAAAATGATTCGGATTTTCAATACAAACGTGAAGTCAATTTTGCTTTACGGATCAGAAACTTGGCGGGTCACAAAGAACATTTCCAACAGGTTGCAGACCTTTATCAACAGCTGTCTTCGTTCTATACTGAAGATCAGATGGCCAGAAAGAATCACAAACAAGAAGCTATTGGAACAAACAAATCAGGAGGAGATGGATTGGACACTCGCTGAGGAGGCCGTTGGGTGACATTGCGCGTCAGGCCCTCGAGTGGAACCCGAAAGGGAAGCGGCGAGTGGGACGTCCAAGGGTGACATGGAGGAGATCGTGTGAAGAGGAACTGAAACAGTATGGACTAACATGGATGCAGTTGAAAAGTACAGCACAAGACAGAAGCAAGTGGAGGCGTGCAGTTGAAGCCCTATGTTCCACTAGGAACCCAAGGGAACAATAATAATAATAATACTTCAGTGGAAATGTGATCCGATTAACTTAAAAAACAACTTATTAATTTTGATATGATGGATAAGATTTGTAGGTCAGATGAATGATACCAATGTAATTATGTTCAGTGTGTTGGATGGTTAATTGCAAAGCTTTCGTTGTTGTGTGGCGTGTGCTACTGATAAGATTTATTAGTAGTACATAAAGAGATATTCATCGGCATAAAAATATCAAATAGCAGGGAAATAAGTTTTTCATCAAACAAAGCAAATGATTCAGCGTTGCGGATAAACATGGGAGACGTGAAAAAGAAGACAAAGAAACAATAATACGGAGGACAGAAGTAGCACAACACGGAAGATATGTGCAAATGGTGGTTTGAAGATATGCTGTACATAATTTTACTATATAGAGACATATAGAGTCACTACATAGAGTCTCTTGTCTCCTACTGTTACAATTGTTTTACTCGACAACATACTTCAAATTGAAGTGTGCGCGCTGAATATGTTGTCCAGCAAGACAATGAAAGCTACGCAGCTAAACTATCCAGTTCAGTGAACACAACTACACTAATATTACCAATTTTGATTTTTTTAAAGAACATTTCAGAACAGATGAAAACAGTGACTGTCTGTAGTGAATTTGTAAGCCTATCCAACACTATGCTGTTAATATTTCAGTCGTCATCTGTGTAAGTCTTTTTCCAAGCTATTGCTTATTTCAATTGTGAAAATACTTTATATCATAGATATCATGGTAATCTACGCATCAATCAGAAATTAACATGCGGTGTAGCATAATTACAAGTCAGTTGGTGTTGGTAGACACGTTGAAGTGCTAATTGTTTGATGCCTTCACCACTGGATTTTTTCCATTGCTTTGCGCTGTCAAAGGAATAGAGAGCTTCGAGCTTGAGCTCTGAAGTTCTAGTAGTTTCTTTTTACAAGGTGGGATTGCTAGCCCTACGCCCAACCTTCCCTCTTTTCCAGGCTTACTACAGGCTAGTAAACTAGGCTAAGTTTAAGAGTGAGTGTGTGGTTGACAAGCATTCTCTACCATTTAACCGCCGAAGCACCTTTAGACTAGGTGAACTCATTAGCATTCACCTCATGAAGTAATCACCGAAGTGGAAGGTCAGCAGTTTGAATCATCATGAAATAAAAAATAGGGGTAAATTGTTTTGAAAACGCCATTGAACTAAAGAAACCCGGGAATGAAAGTATATGATATAAGTATCGGGACGATGATACGATAGTGGCTCAGTCATCACTATTCATTTCAAGTCATATAGTTTATTAAAGATTCAGAACTGCCTATTTCTGTAAACTTACAGACTAGAAGTAGAAATTTCATGAATTATGTTTCAATCGAGACGCTAAGTGGCAATAATAAACCGAAAACGACAGTAAAATTTTACTTAAACTGCTACATTTCTCCAACTGCATATTTTGGACTGAGGAGTGAAAGCTGTTAGTATAGGAGAAACACAGATCATATAACAAACTACAATACTACTTTAGGCAATTAAACATAATAAATAGTATTAGTAGTGGTGTTATCCATCGGACTTCCTCGTTAAAACTTATATCATTTGTTACCACATCAGACTAACCACAAGCCTTTTAAACTTAAATCGACTCTGGATGATTTGCAGTCTTATAAGAATCTTAAATCAGTCTTATTGAACACATTTCATCTTGATATAACAAACGTATATTCAATATCAGTGAACACTCACCTAGCCTCACATCGATGAAGGATACGTTAACATAAAAGACAACTCATTCAGATGAACAAATTCAAATAATGCAATCAGCTTAATATTCCTCAAGTGGGATTTAACAGACCAATCAGTTTCAACCGATGTGATCAAGGAAATGTTTATGTCATCAGACCTTATCATGTAGGTCTGAGTGGAATCTTAATCTCAGACTTCTTCAGAATAGATAATTTCTCCTCTTTTAATACATTCTTTTTCTCTGTTCAAATAATCACTTCAGATATTCCAACTTCTTTCTGAATTGATACTTCAAAATACATTCACATTATTGTAAGAAGAAAGAGAGTATTACACAGTTTCCTAGGTTTAAGTAGGTGGAAGATTCGAACACAGGGACTGAAGGTCAGTTTTGTACTTACAAACTTTAACATAAATACTGAACTGTTTTCGCTGAGTGATTTTTCGATGTAGTGACTGTTTAGAACCCAATGGGCTACCAAATCTATACGTGGACGTGGGGTGGCACATAGACCCAAGCACTAGACTTTCAATCAATCTATCTACATCTCAATAACTATAGTCTGGACAAGCGGATCATCATGCAGGCTCACGTGCAGTAATGAGGTAATTGAGACACACGTCATCAAGAAACAATATTGAAAACTCTACAAAGCGGAATGAAGACGTAGGTCATCTTACTTCCAGCTAGTAGGTACTGCGGTTCCATCCACTTCAGTCCGGACAACTGGATGGTATTATCTGCGCTGACACAATAAGCATAGTTGATAGTCTTGAAAATGAAACTTCTATTTCGACAGCTCTAAGTTAAAACAAGCAAACAAAGTAGAGCCAAATGCCAGAAGAAAACTAATCTATTACAGATCAAAAATGAGTCATGAAGAACTACTGAAACCATTTAATCTTCTAACCATAACTTTGTGCATCATTCCTGTCCACGTCCACTGTGAGGAGACTAAAAGATGTCCTAAATGGAAAACACCGCTCAGAATATACTGGATTCAAGAAAAGTGAATCATATGTGGATCAAATTGCAACGTCCGGTATTATCACTGAATAGAGCATTGAATGGCAGTCAAATCTCTACCTCAACTTCATCGACTTTCGAAAGGCCTTCGACATAGTTAACCGTGAGACAATTTAGAAACTGCTCCGACTCTACGGGGCACTATACGCCAAACTGTTATCAACCTCACTCAACAGCTATATGATAATGTCACAACGGAAAACTCAGTGAAGCCTTTTAAGCGAAGACAAGTGTGTATCACCGATAGTATTCATGATTGTGGCGGACTGGATCATGGAACAGAAATTGACGTGCGAGAAGACAGGCATACGTTGGACCGAAATGAAGACTCCAGAAGATCTGGACTTCGCAGAAGATTTATGTGTAGTGTCACACAAACTAGAAGATCTACAGACAAAAACCAACAAGTTGGCAGAAAAGGCAGGGAAGACAGAACCCTAAGTGGAAATAGAGAAGATAGAAGTGATGAAGATACCTAAGCAATAACGACAACAGCAACAGGCACTATTAACAGGAGAAATTCGAAGGGAGTCACCTCTTTCACTAACCTCAACGACATCATTTCAACTAAAAACATTACAGATGAGAATGTCAAAAGCCAGAATGCATTGGAAAGGTAAGACAAACGCTCTTTAATCTGAAATCAGTGTGGAAATCAGCTTCTCTCAATCCAAGGAATAAGATTAGGATTTCCAGTACTCATGTCAAGTCAATCAGTGCTTCAGCATGGTTCACAGGCTTGCTCCTTATGTAACGAAAAGCATTCCCAACAGGTTACAGACTTTTATCATCAGATGTCTTCCACTTAATACTGAAGATCGGATCGGCAGAAAGGATAAGGGACAAGAAACTTTAGCAGGTAACAAAGCAACCAACCAACAATCCAATGCATCACAGATATATGCAGAAGGAAATAGAGATGAATTGGACACACGCTAAGGAGACCATTGAGTAACATTGTGCACCAGGTTCTAAAGTGGATTCCACATGGAAAACGATGAGTTGGACATGGTGAGGTTGACATGGAAGAGGTCATGTGAGCAGGCGATGAAAGCTTATAGGCAGGCAATCGTTGAATCAGCTTAAGAGAACTACAGAAAACATAATGGAATGAAGGGGATGTGCTGTTGAAGCCCTATGTTACACTGGGGACCCCGAAGAATGATAATAATAATAATAATAATAAAATGATATCATTCACACACCATCATGAATCAATCAATCAATCAAAGTAATTTTCAAAACATTAACACTAGAGAAAAAGAACAAAAACACAGCATTAAAGTTTTTATTTATCCTTTATATATATATATATATATATATATATATATATATATCTTTAATTTCGTCAATTATTATCACCTGACAGGAACACTGGATGCTCAACCAAAAACAATGTAACAATCACTGAAATATGTATTATATAGATACATATATGTGTGTGCGGAAGGGGGGGGGGCGGGAAACAAAAGAACAAAGTAGAAAGTTGGCGTTGAACTGGTAGTCAGTATCACCGAAACACAACACAACAAAGCAAAACAAAGCATAATAGAGTAATTGTGACTTTCTTTGAACGAAAAAAAAGAAGAAGAAGAAGAAAGCAATCACACATGGAAATAGCTTTCTTTTGATGAAAAAGGGAAGGGAATTTATCCAAATCCACAAAATCATCATAGGCAAAAAAACAACACTTATACGTTTCCTGTATTTGGGCCTACGTTCAGATGGAGCACGTACAGATGGAGTATGTGATTGTGCAGTCATTTTTAAAAAAATTATTTAACGATAATGGGGTTTAGATTATACTATAGATTAAGAGAGAAAAACATGAAAGATGAGAAATTGTGAACAGGGGGATTACAACAACACGTATATATATATATATATATATAGGTTTCAAAAAATAATGATAATTATTATTATGATGATGATAATAATAATCATAATAACAGGAAATCATTCTACAGGAGAAATAATAAATAAATAATGTAGGAAGATAGCCCAAGGATACAAAAACATCATTTATGTGTACTAACATCAAGTGTGTGGATGTCTGTGAGTGTATGCCTTATTCACACGGTTAATAATTTCAGTCTTTCTTTCTTCTTCAAGGTTTTTTTAAGTCAACAAAGAAAGTCAAGTGGAAAATATTTTTTCTTTAAATTCAATAATAACAACCAGTTACCATTGTTGTTTGTTTGTTTGCAGAGTAAATTTGAACAAGTGATAAATGAATTATACGTGTGTGTGTGTGTGTGTGTGTAGAAAAGGATTTAAAAAGAAATGATATCTGTATATTAAAAAATACAATGGACAGATAATACAGGAAAATACAAACAGAAAATACAAGTCAATATTACCTTAGTGTCGAAAATATAGTGATGACAAGGGAATAGACAGTTTGTGGATAAACTAAAATACTGTATACTGTAGATATTACAAATGTAGACATGTATCAATCAAATAAAACAGAGTGTTGATGTCGACAGAATGTGATACAAAATAAAAGACAAAACAAAAAAGATGAGATAGTTTTGTGAACTCTAAACACAACAACTTCATCACATTTCTTTTGGCGATGGTGAATATGATGACGAAGAAGTAGTGGGGTCAGAAGAGGCTTTTGTGGCGTGTGACTGAGTAGTAAAGATATAATATGCTAACAAAATAGCTATAACCAATGCCATAATGCTAGTAATCACTATGATAGGACTGGATATTAGGACTGTAAAATAAAAAAAATATGGAAAACAATAATAATATGAGATGACTATAAAAAATTTACTACTTGCTTTGATTGTTTGTCTACTTTTATTTCGAATGAAGCAACAATTAAATTATGGTACAAACAAATCCAAAGCTAAGTGTCTGTTTACACAGATTTGATTCATTCCAAGTTTCATTACGAATCGATTTCAGTTACAGAAGCATTGAAATCTAGCAGGGAGTATCGGACAGCTGTTTTGTCTTTGTTGAGGATTATTTGGCGTTACGCAATCGCAACCGTGATCAAACCTCAGATCAATCAAATCCCTGCATACCAACACTTGAGAATCAATCTAGTGTTCACTGGTGACCGACTAGTAGATGAAGCTATCTGAAGTTCTAATGTTGGAAGTCGTAACCAGTACGGTCCACCAAACTGGGCATGAGGACACATACTCACCTGGAAAACACTGCCTGGCGATCACATTATACATTTCGAATTGGCAGAAGTTAGAAATGAGTGGTCACTGGATTCCACCCTGAATAGTCAGCGAGCTTACCTCCTCACGCTAAAGTCTTTGGTTCCATCCCTGATGGAGTCCCACACAGGGGAGAAACATTTGTCTAGTACTGCCCAATTTTCCATGGTTTTCTAACTGAATACAGTTCGTGTTCTAAGCTGCAGTCAATTATATCCCCGAAAAGCAACGCTTGGAAACTTCTTTAGAAGTTTCATATATTACAATAAGTATGTATAATAAACTGACAAATTACAGAAAGAAACGGGCAGAATTCAGTAAAGCCAGATTTCATACTTGTTTGCGTACAATGTAGATGCATGTGTTCTTCTAAAAGGATGGAAGGAAAATCAGTATTACCACCCGAATTTGTCTCAATAAAATATATGCTTATTTGTCTAAATTAATCTGAATTTCCCGTTGGTTGCTTTACATTCAACCAAAATGCCCAGTCTTTCCTGTCATGGACGCTTTGACGATGCCTGCTGGTTAATATGACGTCATGTTGATCACAAAGAGTGGTAGTGGAATCTAAGGGGCGTATTTCGTCCTATTTGGGAATCGTCATCTGAATGTAACTGCATTCCCAGAAAGTAGTCGTGTTCTCACTAAGATTCGAACCCAGCGCCCATTGTTACAGAGGTCAGAGCGTTGGACCACAAGATAAATTGATGACATCAAGGTTAGTAATAATCAATCAACAAATGGAGTCAAATTCCAAAATACATGAGCAAATTCAACTATTAAGTTATAAACACCAAAAACAAGTGAAATTCTTATTAAATAATTCCTTGGATCTTGATCAGCATATCAGTATACATACATTTAAAAGGAATAGACATGAAGCGAGGAAATGTTGAAAATATATAAACACAGGGCAATAGAATTGATGACTCACGTGAGCTACGGTTTGGGACTGATTCAACAACTTCATCTAATAGTTCTGATTCTGAATAGTCGTCCTCAGCACTGACTACGCAATGGAATATAAAAATAGATGATACCGTTAAAATACTCCTTTTTTTTACAAGGATTGGAAATGAGACCTTATGTCAAAAAGTACAGTCACATAAGAACCAGTGATAAACTCTTGTTCTACACGTTGAACGATACAAAAAATACGTGCATCAAACAATACAGTACATTGAAAAGAAAAGAAATTTATTTTTTCGATACGATTTTGTTACTCAGAAAATAGGACTACCGATGAATATCTGATGAAGAAATCGAATAGATTTAAGACCATTATACTTTTTAAGAAATGAAGATACCGGGGAGGAAAGATTATTGACTATTTATTTTTCATCTATTCTGAAAAAGTATTTTTCAGTAAAACACATCAATATATTTTTTTTGGTGACAGCTTGATTCCACACCGTATTTTTGGTACAGGTATGGAATTTTCAGCATGTGATATTGGTAGCCCAAATTTTGCTTATCTATACTTATTGCAGAACAAAGAGTTACTCCTCAAACTTGACTATTTTTTTAAAGCTGGAAACTTGACCAGATTATTTACGCTTCCAGGGAATTCCAGATATCCATCAAGGGTGATTGATTCATGTCATTAAGTTGACGCTATAACTCATTCTGTACTTTTTATCCGCTCTCCAATGCACAGAAAGGCAAGGAGGTGACACAGAAACGAAGTTTCTGATGTATGCAAATAACGAGAATTGATGAAATAGTTATCTTATTCTAGTATTCAATCTCAATATCTTCAAGTTTATGAAGTCGTTTATGCGCATGATACATCTTACCTTGCTTCAATCTGACAGTACAAAGATCTATTGTATAAGACTGACCAAATACATAGTTCCCAACAAACAAGTAGTCATCTTATAAACTATTCTTCACCTTTAGAGAAAACTTCTAGTGGTAGGAAAACTGATGAAATAGGTTAAATTTTAACCATGAAATTCAGAATGTATACCACTCTTTACAATAAACAAAAGGTAGCATTAATTTTTTTTTATTACAGCTTGATGCCACACCGTATTTTTCAGTACAAGTATGGAATTTTCAGCATGGATATCGGTAGCCCAAATTTTGCAGGCCGATCATAGATATCGGATGTGCGTCCGCAGGGGATCGAACCCCGGACCATGTGCATGGTCGGCGAGAGTCCTAACCACTGAGCCACCGACGCACATTAATGTAGATCCTGGTTATCCAAAAACAGACGTATATGTGTACAGCTGGAAATATTATTTAGTTCCCATATAAACAAATTACTGTGTAGTGTCTAACATCTTTACATCTATAAGCTCAAATACTTTTTACTTAACTTACTTTCAGGCGTTTTTTCCAGGGTAGTATCCAGACATGATGCATCAATCCGATCATTTGATGACAGAATCTGAGACGTCGATTCAACATCAGTGAGAGAATTATCCGATGCTGAGTGTGTAATACCAACATCAACAGAATCACTAGAAACAGCAGTACCAAGAGGAGAACAGAAGTAAACTAAACGGTTCACGACGTCTTCCGGAGTTTCAGAAAGGAATTTGTAATCAGATAACGGAAGTGTTGGACAGGGTGGAAGCCGAACTAAGACGCGCTGCGGCAACATCATACGCGGAACTAGAAAAGAAAATTGATCATACAATTAAATTGTACTACTTTCAGTGCTCTTCAGGTTGATACAAAAGTAAGAAGTAAGTTCTATTAAAAACTTTTACACACAAAACGTGAACCCACCCATACACTAAGAAGTGTATCTGACATTTTCTGAGTACTATTTATCTGAAAACTATCTAAAAGAACGTGAAATGACCGACCTAGTGTAGTAGCTGACTCTCAACAGTTCAGCTGACAGGGTATTAGCTAACAATTCAGAAACTGCTGACATAAATCCTGCCACGAATCAGGTTCTCACTTCACCAATAATCATCGTCCATTACATTAGGCATAAACATAAAATATGTATCAGTGACACAAGCTAAGAAGCAGCGAAATGCAATGACGGTGGCGCTACGGTTGCCATATGAGAGATATATCTATTCATTATTGAAATATCAGTTAACAGCATATCAATACTGCATACTTTTTCTACTTTTCATATTAGATTCTCTAACAAAATACCGAAGGAAATGAAGATGGATTTGACACACGTTAAGGACAATGCCGAGTATCATCACGCACCAGGCAGATCCTCGAGTGAAACCCGAATGGAAAACGACGAGTTGGGAGTCAGTCAAAGGGTGACATGGAGGAGATCGCATGAGGAAGAAGTAACAAGTTATGGGCAATCGTAGGGTCGCGTATAAAGGACTGCACAGAACACGATGAAATGAAGATGTGCTGTTGGAGTCCATATAGTGCAATCGGACCTCCAGGAATGATGGTAATATAATAATAATAGTCATAATAATAATAATGTTGATTAACAATAGAGATTCGCATCAATTAAAATTCACTGACAAAAAACCATAATGAAATAGGCAAGCAAATCTCATAGATTTCAATTACACAATCACTTGTACTTATTTACAATACACTAAACAAGCTTTCGAAAGCATTGAATCAACGTACCATTCAGCGTAATCACTATTTTATTACCACTTCATAATCGATGATAAAATGTACATGAAGATAATTGTATAAAAGTGGGACATAAAAACTATAATGGAATATAATTTTATGAGTTATTAAATATACCACGATGGAGAATGTATTGTTAACCGGATAATGTTTTAAATAATTTCTTGTTTACGATTATATCAAAGGTAATCCCACACAATGTGAATGCTAAGTAAGACGGAAGTTACATAAACCTACCTTCTAACTCAGCACTGGTAATGTGTAGTTCTTCCGTTAAAAGTTGTAGTCGTACTAAGATACTTCTTATGAGATCCTTCCGTAATGCCTACAGGTTAATTGGAAAAAATGTATATAATCTGTAGACACACAACAGCTGACACAAAATAAAACAAATCGTTAACTAAAAGGTTCTCATCGATCCACTAGATAATCCGTAAACAAGAGTGAATAATAACGTAACATAATAAGCAATTTTTAAAACACAATACTATAATAAATATTCAATGCAAAATACACTACATACTGAATTTCGAACCATTAAGGTTACTGATAAATTCTAAATGACTAAATTTGAATTGCCGGTTAGTAATATAATTAGTCTTAGGCACAATAGGAGTGACTTATTATCTCATTGTGTGTGTGACCATATTTGTTTGTTCTATGGCTTCATATTTGTTTTACAATACCTACAGGTTAAAAGCACCAAGATAAATGTATGTTGTTTTATGGATAATGACTAGCAGTGAAATTTAGGATGAGCATTTCGTCCCATTAGAGACTCTCCACCTGGATTTACCTACAGTTGCCAGTAGGTGATGATCTTCTCACTGAAGCTAATCCAGCACCCATCATTTCAAACATGAGAGTTATCCACAAGACCAATTGGGCCACGAGAGTCACCCTCTTCTGCAACCAATATCAGTCATTTATTTGTTTAAATCCATCAACGGGAAAAACAAATCGACTTAAACAAGCTACAACTCGAACCCTAGTAGAATATCAACATTATATAATTGTATTATTACAAGATTAAAGTAAAAGATGAGATAAGTCAATAGAATGAAACAAAGCATTATCAAGCAGTTATACAGAAGTCATATAAAAAAAGTCAGTGAATCAAAAACACAGAGATTTAATATATCGACGAATCAAGATAATCCATGGATATTTTATTACGAATAATAAGACCTGTACCAAATAGATTAAACTTATTTCTGTTTAAAAACTTTACTTTTGGCAATTAAACACTACAATCCGTGGGATATCATGATAGTAATGATGCAGAGGTGGTGTTCTGCAAGTCTTTTCATAACATACTGTTAAAGCTGTTTTTAGATTTCTGTAAACTATGTACCTCTGGGAACTAAAAATTAGGTGCTATTTGATTCCACTGATGACATTCATTTGTAGAGATATAAAAGTCAATGCTTTTAATTATTATCCTAAAGTTGATTGAATATGTCTACTAATTTATACCATACAACCTGATGAGGATTAATTATCACAAGGAGAACAATGTGTGCCTTCTGGTTTATATTAAACATAAGAAGCATAGCATACTAACTGCTAACAAATTTGTGTTGATGTTAAGCCTTCTACTAAACCGATAGCTAGAGCTTAGTTCTAACAGCTTTGTATTCTTATCTGTCCATTCAAATCCTAGATTGACAATTCTATTGCATTACATGTTAGTATAAAATCCATAGAAGGTCCTATTGTGGTGAGAGCTGTCTACTAGCCAAATTGGTAGACAGTAATTTACGTCAATATTTACGTTCCCAAGATTTGTCGTGAGAAAATGTGAACAAAGATTGACTTTGCGTAGGCGGATGCAGTTAACATATAGAGGATTTGACATTCAAGAAGCAGTCACAAATAGATGAAAGATTAACTTTACGTGAGAAACAACCAATCGGAAGACTGTGTTTGTTCGCTTAACTATCCATAATAATGTACATGAAAATATATAAATATGCGTTGATTTCCTTAATAAATGATCTGTTGCCTGACTCTTGCCTTCTGTTATTACACTATGACTTATAAAGTGAATCGACCTAGCTGTGACGTTATAAACAATTGGTTTGCCAAGGTTGGAGTAATAAAATTTCAATCACAATAAATGGAGACTGATGTAAAATTAGAAGAATTTCAGCACTGATGTCTCCCTTTCTGTATTAAAGAGACGAACTTTAGAAATACTAAGAGTTATGACGGGGAAGGTATCTAACATTTCCTAAGCAATAATATTTAAGTCATACAGTAAACAACAACTAATGTGAGTAATAGGTACTAATGTTACACGAAATAAAGACAGACTAAAGGATGCAATTTTATTCACACAACCAACTAATGAGAGAAAAAAAGTGATGAAATAAATATTTAAAAATCTCCCGGTTACACATCTCTCATCATACAGCAAGACTAGCAATAAGTGAACAGCATTCGCTCGAGAAATAATGAAACCTATCCATCCAAATTGAGAATATTCTCGAAACACCACTCTATCACTATAAGTACCCTTAGTAAGAGAATCATGGTGCTATATGAGTCATCAAGTGAAAAGTAATCAATGAAATGAAATGAATTCCTAAACTAATTTGAATACATAGAAAATGTATGTTAAATCGTGATATTTTTTAATAAGAATTATTATAACTTCTTGATATTAATTCTATAGGATGAAAGAGATGAATCTCTTAGTGTAGGCGATTCTTCTATTGAGCTGAGTATCACCACCTGATACATAAACATCTAGAAGACAAATATCAAATAGGATAAAGCACGCATTCTGGATTCAGTTAACCTTCACACTAAACAAACAAAATTATGAATTGCGATAGTACTAGTTAGTCCTCAATGCACTGATAAATTACAAGAATGAATCCATCAGTGGTCCAGTGGTAGAATGCTCACAAACCCCCCCCCCCCCCCCCCCATCTGACACACACAAGTGGTCTAAGTTCTAAACCCCGTCTAATCCACACACGCTTAGGGATTAATATGGTAAATATGAAGAAGACACAAATCTCAACGCATCACACACAATACAAATTCATTGTCATAGATCAAATGATAAGTAGGTATAACAAATAACCATTTGCTTTAACATGGACCATAGGTTCTATCTAAATTGACTGAGACAATTGAATTTCAAGCAATAAAGGATTTCAAAAGAACATAAAATTTTAAAATACATATATATAGGATAAACCGATTTCACGGTATCATTTAGACATCAAAGTAAAGAAATACAGAAGAAAAAAATCTTTTACTAACCTCCAGTAAATCTCCAACGTTAGAATTAACTGGTAAAAATGCTATTCCAGGAATTCGACCACTAATTAATAACCGATTAATTGAGATAAAACTACTAGATGATCCACTAGTATCATTTCCATTATTCATATTTGTATCTGAACTAGCACCAGATTCAAGAGACGATGATGAACTGGCACGTTGCCAATGAGGAAACTGAAAATGAAGCGAAGAAATATGGCTTATGCAATATGTGAGAAAAATAATATCAGATCATATTTCTACTAAAAAGCAGTTTAGAAGGCTAGACAATTTTTTGTAAGATTTAAGGACTGACATGATTAGCAATCAGGCTTTCATGTGTTAAAGGAAATCCAAAGATATCTGAACCATTGAAACAGTTAGTCCCTTTGAAAAATTTTAAATAAAACATTAGGAAGACAAATAATGCTATATGATATCATTTCGTAGCTTCTCTGCACGGTTCAAAATAGTAAAATAAGATGTTTGACAATTACTCAGTTACATAAAATAAAATAAAAGTGCATACCCATCAAAAAATATGATTGTCTATTAGTATGCACTTTTATTTCACATTATATTGCTGAGTAATTATCAGACATTTTATTATTGTGAACCGTGCTGGTTGTAAAACGACCGTAAAGTGTGGCGACTTGAACTGCCGCACATATGTGCAAATTTCTATGTCGAAAACAGACAGACAGACCGTAAAGTATCTACGAAAATGATATCGTCTCCCAATATTTGTCTTCTTGATACCTTGTATCTCAACTGAGCGAACAATAGCCTAGACTACGCTCTTGCAGACTTCGGTTTCTACAGAAAACAGTAGTCACTCGCTTGTCAAGAAAACAAAATTTCAAGTGTCTGTAATCGTCAACCAGCATCAGCCATCACGAAATAGGTGATAGGACCCATATCACACTCAAATAAAGGTGGAAAAATATTCGAATGAGAATGGCAATAAATAAACTTACTACCTTTCCTCTTATCTTCAAGATACATGCCTGATGAAAACCGTGGGAAAGTGACATTAAAGTCACTCAAAATGGGAGAAAATTCTCAGTTTGTTATAAAACAGAAGCACCAAGTAATAACAACTGCAACTCAACAAACAACAGTTAAAGTGCAATAATAATCTATGCGCTAGACTTAATACGTGAAAATGAACAATACAATCAGCTGTGATTTCATAACTACGATCTACACAATAAGTTACATCTGACTACTTAGCACAAAAGGGGGGATCTCGAAAGTGCTGGTTTGATCTATAAAAAACATACAGAAGGTAAAATTAACCAAAACCCTAAAAGGCTTTGTAACTAATGCCTGTTACATTAGAGAGGCTCACATACAAGATGCCAGTAAGTTTTTTTTCCAATAACTTTCTCATCAGTTAATTCACAGACCACGTTACACATGTGTTTTTTCCGGGACCTTGGAACACTGTTGTTTAGCCTTAGTTGACGCAGCGACGCACAGTGAATCGTGCAAAGAACTTTGCAAAATAGTTTGGTTAATCTGCGGTGCTATCTATCCCTAGTATTACGCCCACTGACCTATCAAACAATCAGAAGTTCCTAGTATTCTACACACTAAAGCGTAACAAAACACTTTGACCACATAAGTCCCACTTATGTAGAAAAATAGCTGTAGAACTTCACACAGCGAAGTGACCAGATTCTTTGTGAAGTTATGGAATGTCAAGTGTTCTATCATAGAGAAACAAGATGCTTCTATTTTAAGTTTCCTTAATTAACAAATGAACGAAGTATATATTTACAACATTCACTGAACCGGCTGAAATATTTTGCTGCAAAAATCAAGATAGTAATGTTAATAAATATGATAAGAACAATACACTAAGGGAACTTTTCGAACCATAGTTCCCTGACTGATAAGTAGCATAAGAACTGAGTGAAGAGGAAAAATTGACCCCGTTGTAAATCATATTGCAAGGATTGACAGATAATGAAGATACCGATCAAACAGGTTTAAGTTTTGTCAGTTTATTTCATCATGTTAATAATAACGACGACAATAACAATCCTTGAGTGTATTGTTTACAGAACATACTATCAACCCAATTCTAATTGTATTCCATCTCTATTTCTTTCTGTTAAGAAAGCTACTTATCACGCTGTTTACCCCATTAAATGATGAAAGAACAACTGTAGACAGATACTACAAAGCGAACACAGTGAATAAAAACTAACCTGTGGTCCAAATATTACTATATCCAGCGGGGTAAATGCTGGACTGACTAAGTCTTTTGTAATTATATACTTTTTGCTTTCTGCTTCAGAATTAGTAGAATGGTTTACATCTCCAAGAGATATATCATACCGTTTTGATTTAGATTTCCTTTTATTTTTCTTTGTCTGGAAATCGTCATCGACGGGCAGAGGAAGATCTGAGTCTTTTAATAGTTTTTCATCCAGCTGACGCAACTCGCCATTGATCATAAGCTGAGTTTCAGTAACAAGGGACTGAAGATATGGGTCAACAGCAGCCTAGAATTTGAATCAAAAGGAAACTGTTGTAACTCAAAAGCAACACCAAAATAAACTGTCTTGAATAAATTTTGCATTTGAAATTCCACATTAAAAACAATAACTTTATTATGAGCACATGTCACAAAATGTTCTCATAAACGACTGAAAATACTATGCTTCCACAATCAGTCTCAAATCCAGTATATGCAATGCTAAATTTTATACACTAAACAAGAGGTGTCTCATGATACAAAACCCCTATAGGTTTAGCTGATATATTTCCCCTAAAAGTTCCACAGAAGGGGAATGTTCTGAACGATCTCCAATCACACCACTAAGAATCTCCGATCACTGATCTTTAGCATCTCCATAATCTGAATTGTTCAAATAAACAGACAAAAATTTCACTGGATGATGGTACATTTTGGTCTGAACGACCCTAATTTGTCCATGTGACGGCTTGGTATACGTAAAATATGTTCTAGACATCTGAACTGATTCACTACACTTCCATCTGCTTACCTACCACTGTACGCCTAAGCTAATTAATGTACTAGTTAGGATATAAAACTACTCGTAGTGTAGCAAGAAGTACGAAAAGACTAAGATAGATGACATTTTCATGAGATCGACAACTTATTTGTTTTACTAAAAGATGATACTATATAGCATAAAAGATGGACACACAGCAGAAAAGCATTTTGCTCAACCATTTACACGTGGTGTAACTATTGGGCAAGTGATGGAAAGCTCCGGAATGTTCTTAATTAATGGATAAGTAATTGCACTTGGTTGCAAGGGGTTAGTTAAAGTCCTCAGTCTTTCGCAACTGTTTCCGGTTTCGTTACGTTTACTCATCGTCTAGACTCGCCTATGAAGTGTTTGTGTTAGAACACGAGATTAGGATCAATAGTGAGAATAATAATTGCTAGGAAACTACTGCATGTATTTGTAAAAAATACATATAAGCTGTTTTCAATGGATAAAAATTAAAAGCTCAGTCCACCACAGGATCAGAGGATCAATAATTGAATTTACCTGGAGCTGATGTGAAATTTTCTCCTTCTTCCGATCAGACGGTAAGTGCGTTTCTAGAGACAATAATATGTTGGTTTTGAAGGCCACCCATCGATCAAATACAGGCCGAATTTTGACATCTAACGTTCGAAGATGACTCTACCAAATAAATCAGTATCATAGGACACATACATTAGATCCATCTGCAGCTACAGCTTTACATAGAAACCTGAAAGAAAGATATAATCGAAATATGGACAAACTTTTTAGTTGTAGAGTCAACCACCAAAACTATTTTTTCTCTGTTATCTTGGCTGACATACTTGCTTGTTAGTGTTTCATCACGTGACATATGAGAAAGAATCTAACATTTAGTTAAAGGAGCATTACTTTCTTAATGTGTTCAATGTGACTTGTAAGTTCAGAATGTGGGAGAGTTAAACAGATCCCACTAATGCGAACACCTCCAGGTATCATACGAGCAAGGTTTCTGCAGTGAGAACCAACCCATTTTTCCTTTATATCTTCAACTTTATTGAAAGACACAGAACTATTCTGGCTCTCTTGAACTTCATTGCAAGGTATTTCAACAGGTAAGAACAAACACTCTTGAGATCCAAGACACTGCAACATATTAGAGAATCATGGTTACTTACTCCACCTATCAACACACCGCAGTGAAATCCATCCACAGCCAGTAAACGTTCAGCAAACTTATTTTCGAATAAAACCTCACTTATCATTTGTGTAGTAACCGAAATGTTTACATTACGCGGGACCACGTCCAACATCCAATGTCCTGATTACGAGCTAGTATAAACCAGTGAATTCTTTGAGCTCGCTTCTTGATTGTAAGGTAGAGGTTCCAGATCTTCGATGAACTTATGCGTAGTAAATCCCGCCACTCGACTGCTTTAGCTCTGGTAGACTCCAAGAGGAGTGGTGCGAGGATTGGTCAAGATGTAGTTTGTAGTGTACAGTATGTTAGGACTCAGTTGCTGCAGTGAATGGAGTTTGACCTAACACCCGTTGGTCATTCGATGTAGTCACAAAGAAGAAGAATAATAACAGATTGTAGTGTAGATAATATAGGTTGAGATAAGTGAAATAATAAAGGTGACCAAAGAAAAGATAGAGTAGTCGGTACAGTGAGAGAAGACAGGACGGGTCGTGGGGATTTAGCTTGTATGCTTATCCATTGACAGTGTGGTTTCAAATTTTAAGAGGATAAGCCATTGAGACACAAACCATGCATTTCTGCATGATTGTCCAGCTTCCGCTTAAAAGTCTCCACAGATGGCACTGTAGTCACGGCCACCGGTAAAGCGTTCCAGAGACGGCAAACTCGAAGCGAAAAGAAATGTGAACGCACTCGAGTCTTTGGTCTCTGGTGTGCTATCCTTAGCGGGTTACCTCGTGGAAGCCTATAATCACTTAATGGCAGGATGCTTTTATTAGGGTGGGCCTGGTCATTTAAGATCTTATAGACGGTGATGAGGTCTCCCCTGTGACTACGGTAACTAAGTGTGAAAAGACTTAATTTCTTCAGTCTTTCCTCATATAATTTGTTACGGAGGCCGATCACCCATTCTGTCGCTCGTCTCTGGACACTTTCTAGCATGCTAGCATCCCTTTTGAGTAGCGGAGTAGCAATGATATTATGCACCTCAAGGAGTGGCCTCACGTATGTCGTATACAACCTTAAGAATAGTTCGGGAGTAAGAGCTCCCAGCTGCCTATGCATAAAGTGTAAAGTTGCGTAAGCTTTGGCGACGTCCCTCGTGTTATTCACACTGGTGTCTAGCTTTTCTGTTAAAATAAGACCTGGGTCGCGTTCTGATGGCACACAACTCAAGTTCTGGCCACCAAATGTGTAATTTGCACTCTGTGACCTGCCGGAATGAAGTTGCACTACTTTGCACTTCTTTAGGTTAAAAGGCATTTCGTCAGCTAGAGCCCAGTCTCCCAGAGTTTGCAGGTCAGCCTGCAATCTGTCGGAGTCTTTCGATGAGTTCATTGCTCTTCAAATCTTTACGTCGTCAGCATAAAGAAGCGCAGAGCAGTTCAGTTGAAAGGGCAGGTCGTTGATAAAAATCGAAAACATCAACGTCCCTAAGATAGAACCCTGAGGAACCCCTGATGCCGAGGTGTGCCAGGATGATCGGATGCGGTTGACTTTGATGCAGAATTCTCTCACGCCTAAGTAATCTTTCAGCCATGCGAGAAGTGCTCCAGAAACACCCGCCTTGCTTATTTTGTGAAGGAGCAGTGTTAATCGCGACAGAGAGATAGACTATATGATAGACAGCTAATCAATATGATGTGACCTTCTTGTCGCGATTATTGGTCAATTTATTGTAACTCTCACCACGTGATGTGACCTTGAATGTTCTTTGTTGTCTGTCACTCTATTTGTGTGTACATGTAATTAATTTACTGTTCATTTTGTCCGTACCCTCAATACTGTTCGGTACGTTTTTGTCCTTTTTTTGAATGACAGTGGATTTGTACATTTTTCTTGGTGTAATTGTATGATTTATTTTATGTTTTAGAAACAGATAAAGTTTAAGTCAAGTCATTCCGTTTTAACTATAGCTAAGCTAAGACTCTGTGTCGTCAGTATTGAGGAAGGACTAAATCTGTAGGAAAAAAATAATCCTACAAAGTTTCGAACAGTATGGCAGACGAAAGTTATGAAACTATGCCGTCGTTAACTCCACAGCTAGAAAAGAGTAATGAGGCTGATTTCCCTAGGAGCAACGAGAATAAATCACGCTATATGGTAGAATTGGAGCTAGCGAAATTGCGCATAGTCCAAAAAGAGAAAGAAATGGAATTAGAAAGATTACGACAAGGTAGTCGCGAATGTTCTGGTCACAATAAATCGCCTTCAAAACCTTCTACTTCTCATAAAGTCGCTGTATCTCTTAATGATGAGTTCGCCAGAGGCATATCTAAGTTTCTGGACATTCTTGAAAGATATCAATATTTTAAGAAGGATGCCGATGAACTTCAGTGTTGGATCAATGAAAAACTGCAAACATATGCAAATGAGGATTTTAAAGAACTCAGTAATCTTCAGCTGAAAAAACAGAAAAATCAAGAGTTTGAGTTCGAAGTAGCAGTTCATGCTGAAACACTGTCAGCTCTGGATTCTGCGGGGGAAGAAATGATTGTTCAGGGACACTACGCAACAGATATTATCGAAAACCGTCTTGATGAATTGCATGCCCTGTGGGAAAGGCTTATGGCTATTTTCAGAGAAAAATCACGTCCTATTAAACTAACGCTTAAATTTGTCCAGTTTTTACGCCAAGTCAACGAGATACTTTTCTGGATACGCGAAAAAGAAACATCGGAGGATTTCGGTCAAGACTTGGAAGATGTTGAGACGCTTCAAAAAAGGTTTGATGAGTTTACAAAGGATCTCGAGTATCAAGAAAGTCGTGCCGAAGACATCTATCGGATGTCAGATGAACTTCCTGAGGATGCCCTAGTCATAGAAAAGTCCAGAGAGGTCCGGAAAGCTCTAGAACGTCTGAAGGGTCTGACTAGAAAACGACAAGAAAAGCTCCTGGAAGCCTATGAGATACGGCGCTTCTTTAGAGACACAGATAAAGCTATATCGTGGGTGAATGAAAGGTCCATTCCTTTATCCATTGAGGACTGTGGTCGTGATCTTGCCTCAGTCCAAGCCTTACAAAGGAAGCATGAAGCATTAGAAAGGGATTTGACTGCCCCAGATGAAAAGATTGTTCAACTTGGGGATGATGCTAAGGCGCTTGCAGAGAAGCATCCTGATTTGCAAAACACTATACAAGGCAAGTATGACGCCTTAATTACTGCATGGGATAAGCTGAAAAGTCAGGCTGTAAATAGGAGGGGTAAACTGGAAGAGTCATTCAAGATGCATCGCTTTTTGACTGACTGGAGAGACTTGAGTATCTGGATAAATGACATGAAGGCGTTAATATCGGCGGATGATTTGGCAAAGGATGTAGCTGGTGCTGAAGCCCAAGTAGAGCGACATAAAGAATACACCACTGAGGTAAATTCTCGAGCTTACAGTTTCGGTACATGCATGCAAGAAGGTCAGGCATTGCTAAGTGTTGGCCATCCCTGTAGCTGCTAAACTTTCCACCCTTGAAAGAGAGAGAGCCTCCCTGATGCAGTTCTGTGAGGAAAGACGTGAGCAGCTAGAACAGTGTATGGGCCTTCAGTATTTTTACCGCGACGCTGAACAGTCGGAATCTTGGATCGGTAAGCAAGAGGCCCTCCTAGAAATAAAAGATGTGGGAGACTCACTCGATTCTGTCGAAGCACTCATAAGGCAACATGAAGACTTCGAAAATTCACTTTTAGAACAAGAAGAAAAGATGCGACTTGATGAATTCGCTGCAAAATTAATCGAATCAAACCACCACGCGGCTGCGCAGGTTCATGAGATTCAGGAAGGTCTTCAAAGTAGACGAAATGCATTAAAGGAGAAAGCTCAGAACCGCCGTCAGCGTCTTCAAGATTCCCACCGTTACCAAATGTTCGATAGAGATGCAGATGAAATGCAGTCATGGATATCAGGAAAACTTAAAAATGCACTTGATGAAAGTTGCAAAGACTCCACAAATTTGCAAACAAAGGTGCAGAAGCATCAGAATTTCGAGGCAGAAATACAAGCGAACCAATCCCGCGTTGAAGATATTAAAAAGACAGGTCAGGATTTGTTAAATGCAAACCACTACAACTCGACAGAAATAAAAGTAAAGATTGAACAGTTGGATGAAACTTGGTCTCATTTCGTAAATGCCATGGGAGACAAGAAGAAAAATTTAGATCAAGCAAGTAGGCAATAACAGTTCGCTCGCAACGTAGAAGATGTCGAGTTATGGTTGAATGATGTTGAAGCTCAGATAGCCTCAGAGGACGTCGTTCGTGATCTAAACGGTGTGATGAACGTACAAAAGCGGCACAGCTTGTTTGAATCTGATGTAGCTACTCATCGTGAACGTATAGATACATTCAAAGTCCAGGCTGACACGTTTGCTGCAGAATGTCATTTCGACGCTCCTATTATCCAAGAAGAACAAAGACAGTTAGCCCAACGTTACCATGACCTGCATGTCTCTCTAAGTCAACGTCGTGAGAAGTTAAGAGATGCCCTTCCCTCGGACACATCTTTGCAGCTTGAATATGGGGACTATAGTGAGCTGATGAAGTTACTAGTCGATTGTTGTAAAGATTTTAAAGCACATTCGCTTAACCAAATCGAATCAGAAATGTGGCATCAGTATGCTGAAAGCTTCACTACTGGCTCAGTAGCCACTCACAAAGATGCCTTCAGGTTATGTGTTAAAGATAAGAACCCTATTGTTGAAAACTATATTGGTTTTATAGAGTCATACCGTGATCCCTTTGGCGTTCGTGCAAAGTTTGAATCATTTGTCGCTGTTGTAAATAGATCAGTGTCTAAAAAATTCCAACGACTTGTAAATAATGCTGAAAGGTTGCTAACAAGTTTACCATGGCCTTCTACGTTTGAAAAAGTTAATTTCTTACAGCCAGACTTTACTAGTTTGGATGTAGTGACGTTTGCAACTGCTGGAATTCCTGTTGGAACTAATATTTATTTATTTTGGTTACAGCTTGATGCCACACCGTACTTTCAGTACAAGTATGGAATTTTCAGCATGGATATCGGTAGCCCATAGATATCGGGTGTGCGCTGGCAGGGGCTCGAACCTCAGACCATGTGCATGGTCGGCGAGAGTCCTAACCACTGTGCCACCGACGCACA